CGTCAGATGGATTTACCAGCGTGGATAGTACGTAGCTCATTAATAATGTCAAACCCTTGGCCTTACACATTATTATTTCACTACAAAATTTCTCTCATTTCTCTCATTATTATTACATTCCAAAAGCGAAAGAAAGAGGGGTTGCACTTGCAAGGCTAAACTAGACGGTAAGCTTTCTTTTTAATCTTTTTTTTCATTTTTACATATCATTTACCGTTTGTTGTCGATTGTTTTTTCTTTGATTTGTCTTGGGTTATTATTCATGCGTTTAAGTTGTATATTTCATTTTCTTAAGGAGGTTGTTTATTTTTGTGCCTGGTTTGTAAGAAATTCACCCAATCCTTTCCCTCTTTTTCCCCCATTTTCAAGGGTTTTTCAGGTTTCTCTTTGATTTTTAGACTTTTATTTTTCCTTTTGAATTTTCAAGAAATTATTAAATTATTTTTTAGGTGTTTTTCATGAGGGTTTAAGGTAAATTTGATGTTTAACTGAGGTTCGAGACGGCCGCCACGGTACCGCCCTACCGGCGTAGGGTTTCGGGGATGATAATTTTTTGATTAAAACATAGAGATACATTATACATGGTATATATGATGGAACTAGATTTTTTTTTTTTTTACATCCTAGGGGAATTTAAATTTTGAATGCATTATTTGTATGTGATCATGGTTCGCCGGAATTCCGTTATAGTTGCCGGAATGAAAATTTCCGATCTAAAATGGTTTAGATCGGAAATGTGTGTGAGTGTGTGTGTGTGTTTTGATTGTGGCGAAAATGGCAAATAGTTGTGCGGCGGATACTTTTATGTTTCAAAGCGGCGGATACTTTTAATTAGTTTTCGAAGCAGCGAGTTTTCGAGAATGAAAACCTACTAGGGTTTTGGTTTTTTTGGATTTTGCAAATTAGTCCCGTAAGTTTAGGATTTATTTTTTAAATAGAGAGGTATTTCTGGAATATGTATTTTTGCCCCTAAATTTATATTTTCTTCATTTTCGGACCATTTTTCCCCTTTTTAAAGAGTTTGTTGTTATATGGTTTTTGGAGTTGTAACACTTGCCCGGTTTTCTTCTTAATTCTCTTAAGCCATAAAACTTTTTCCCGTATATATTACGCGTCGCCGCCTTAGACTTTCAAGGCTAAGTTATTTTGGTTTGACCTATTTTGTCATTTATCATTTATGAGGATTTATGTGGAATAAAAAATATAATTTCTGAATATGTGTAAATGGTAGTTTTGGGATTGAATGAATGTCATTTATTAGGATTATTGCATGTACCTTAAACGACGCTTAAATATAAATAACGGGCGTAAAATTCTGTATATTTTTCTCCTCTTATTTCAAAATTAGTTGCTTATTGTATATAATCTGATACTTAGTATTATATTTAAAAAAATTGTGGCGTTCGCTTTTCGTCTTACATGTAAGGGTAATAATAAAGCTTCCGGCTTTTTTTTTTTCCTTTTTTTTTTATAGAGATATAATTATCTGAAGTAGGAAAATCAGGTTAAGAGTCCGAATTATTTACACATCAAGTCAAGAACATATACTATGTACTCGTCAAGGATGTTGGAAATTGCAATAATATTCTTTTGCCACTGAAATTAGTTATGTAATAAGGCCTCGTTTGGTTAGGATATAGGTAGGCTAATTAGTCATAATTAACTAAATAATTAAATAACTGAACTTTTTTCAATACATGGTAAACCCAATAATTTTCCCAGTAGCTAGACCAATAAATATTTTTTTATCATGGCCCAAATAATACAATTGATTTTTATTAGTATATTTATTTTTATCTTAAGTAATCTTATTATGTTGTCTTGAAATTGAAATATATTTATGTAATGATTCTGACTAGTGTTCTTGTATTATGTTATCAGGCACATCTGAGTTGTACACATACACACATTACAACTTCATTGTCCAAAATGAAGAGGAACGATTTATTCCCCGACTCAAGAACAACTTATAAGCTGAAGAAAGAGCTCACTCAAACAAATAGATCATCTGATCAAAACAACATCTGGATCGAATCATCTTCGATCTCAAACCAGCCTAATAATAACAATAATAATCATGCATCCACAAAATTCCACACCACAGAAGGTGATCCATCGACCCGGAAGTTGCAAAAGGTTTGTTATGCTGTGTTGTACGGACGGCCCGGGTCGCTACCCAGATCGGGACGTATCAGAATGATAAGGGCATGTTGAGCTTGGGACGGCCGGAGGACCAAACATCGAATACTTCTCCAGGTTCGATTAATATTATATATATATATATATATATATATATATATATATTGCAATTGTTTAACTAAAATGTCGTTTCGCTTTTATGTATACCATTTTGACTTCGAATGTTTATTCATCCATGCATATCTCTCTCACTCGACACGCACCCAACACGCACCCGACATTCACTCGACATGCACCCGACATTCACTCGACATGCACCTGAAAATTGACATGCAATCTCAATCTAGTTGGTATAAGTTGGATTATTATGCCAACTTTACAAATTTGATGTTTTGAGTTTTGCATAATTCAGACATAAAAAATGGTTAAAATCACATTTGAAATCGAAAACGGTATCATAAAATTTAAACGACATTAAGCTCGGTTAATTCTTGATATTAATTATTTATTTATTGTTAATTTTAAATTGCAGCAAAATGGTGTTCGAATTATGGGGGCAAATGTCCAGAGCTACAAAAGCTGGCGATTCGAATATTGAGCCAAACATGTGAGGGTGCATCGAAATTTCAGCTCAAGAGGGGTTCGATGGAGAAGCTTCTTGATATGGGAATAAGTCACTCAAACAAATAGATCATCACAAAACAACATCGGGGCGAATCATCTTCCATCTCAAACCAGCATGATAATAGTAATCATCCACAAAATTCCACCACAGAAGTTGATCCATTGATAAACAAAACCAAAGAGGATATTGCAAGATTCTTCTTCGAAAATGGGCTCGATTTCCATTCAGTAAGTTCCCCAAGTTTCCACAATATGATAGGTCCCAGAAAGTGCCACATCCCCACTCTCGAGGAGCTAAAAGGGCCGTTATTTCAAGATGCATTAAAAGAAGTGACTAAATATTTCGACGATGCTAGAAATTCGTGGGCGCACACAGGATGCACTATCTTGCTCGATGAATGGAAGGGTGAAACGGGAAGGGATTTCGTCAATGTTTTAGTTCACTCACCGAGAGCAACCATTTATCTCAGCACGTACGATATTTCCGATTATATTGGATAAATTGACTAAATGAAAATGTTATTCGACAAAGTGTTCAGTGAAGTTGGGATTGAGAATGTGGTTCAAGATATTACATCCTCGAATTCTATTTTTACCAAGGAAAGTGGGGAAGGAATTGGCGGAAAAATACCGACAAGTATTTTGGTCGGTGAGCGGGTCTTTCTGCATGCAGCTCATGCTGGAGAAATTGTTGGAAGTGGACGTAGAACACGAGGGTTGGGAAGAAGTATCTGATTTAGTGAGTGATGAATCTTTTTGGAAGGGGGCTTCGGATGTGCTCAAATCAGCTATACCTCTCGTGCGCGTAATACAATGGATGACGGGGAATAATAATAAAGAGCAAATGGGATATATATACGAAACGATGGATCAAGCAAAGGAGACTATTAAACAAGGGTTCAAAACGAATAAAGCACAATACGTGAGGTTCTCGAAAGTGATAGATGAGATTTGGACTGGAGTACTATACACCCCGATTCACGCGGCGGGTTACTATTTGAACCCCTATCTTTTCTACACGAGCGATATGTTTATCGACCCAAAAGTTGCAACTGGTTTGTTGTGTTGTGTTGTACGGACTACCTAGGCTCCGCGGGTCCAGGATCGGGTCACTATGCAGATCAAGATGTACCAGACTCCTAAGGGCGCGTTTGGCTTGGGATGGGCGGAGGACCAGAGATCAAATACTTCTCCAGGCTCGAATAATTCTTTTTTATATATATTATATAATTGTTTATCTAAAATTTCATTTCGCTTTTATTTATACCATTTTGACTTCAAATTTTCATTCATGCATGCATATCTCTCTCACCCAACATGCACCCAACGCGCACCCGACATGCACCCCACATTCACTAGAAATTCACTTGAAATGCACACAACATTCACTCGACATTCACCCAACATGCACCCGGCATGCATCCAACATGCACACGACATTCACTTGACATGCACTCGACATGCACCCGACATGCAATCTCAATCTAGTTGGTCTAAGTTGGATTAGAAAGCCAACTTAAAGGATCACAAATAATAAAGAAAAATACCAAGTAAAATGAAAAATAAAAATGAATTGTTATTAAAAACTAAGGCTTTGTTTGGATCATATTTATTTCAAAATAAATTCTAAAAAGAGATATATTTTTTTATTTTAAAAGAAATTCTAACCCAAAAGAAGTGTCGTGAACAAATAAAGAAAAATGTAAAATAAGATGAATATTTTATATATGTAACATAGAGGAGAGATATATCTTTTCCTTTCCTTGGAGAGACATAAGAAAAAGAAGAATTTGTTAGGTGTAGTAAAGGAAGTCCTTTGAGGTGGGCAAGAAGGTGGGAAAGATATGAGTTTATAAGATTGGGAGGATATCCCAAACTATCCCCGAAAATAGACGACTCAACTGATTTGATGATTCTCATGTTTGTTAGTAGGTGTGATCCCCAACAAATTGTTCAATTATAAACGCAATTCACCCACACACAATTGTCGATTTATAAAACAAAAATTGATGCAAGTAGCACAATATCCAAATATGTTCTAGAAGAAATGAGGTCGTATTAGATCGATCACATGACTGATCTTCCGTCTCCTCGCTGTCTGATCTAGCGACTCTCATGCAATATCCCTTCTTCTTGAAGCTGGCAAATCATCATCAGACAAAACAAGAATAAACTCGCCGAATTTTAAATTACTAAATATACAATAAACACCTATATCATGTCTCTTGATTGGTTACCTTGTTTCTCAGCAGCAGCATCAAGAAGCCTACGTTTATATTCGGCTTCCCTGTCACGAGGTTAAATCGAACCGCAATAAATAAGGCACTATTTACGTACGTATACGTTTATATACACATGTAAGAAATGACGAATAAAGTTTACCTCTTTTGTATTTTCTTGTAGTTGAATGCATGCTTAGCAATGAGAACCACCCCAATAAGACCGAAAGCCGCAGAGGCATACATGCAAAGGCTGAAGGAAAACAAAAATACACATCAAAGACACTTGAAATAGGTCCTTTTAATTTACATATAACATAAATACAAGGATAAAAATTAAACCTCGACGCATCCCGATAACAATGAATAATCTCGCTGACTGATCTGTAGGAGACGAAAAATGGGAATCCTCTGCATGGTTTCTGAATAACAAAATTTCCTGCTTCATCCCTAATCACCTGGTAACATAGAAAAACCAAACAATGCATTTAACATGCATTTATGGGGACAAGTGCCATAAAGAAAAAAGAAAAGAATATATATATATATATATATATATACACGTACCTCACCGATAACCGTCAAGCATGTACCGACTGGGAGAACATGTTCCATCTTCTGTACTCCTAAAGTCTATACAAATACCATATATAGCTAATCACTTATACTACTTTCAAGAACCTAAGCAAAAACGTAGCGAATCAAGTGTAATGAAATGCAGACGACCTTAACACCGTTGTCTAATTCAATTTTCTCGTGAATTGAGGATTGTATTGACCTCTCAAACACTTCACCTCCTAATGCCATTGGCAAACTAGCCATTGGTAATTCAATTGCCGAAAGGACACCAAGAACACTTGCACGACCGGTACCGTCATCCTGGTGTGTCAATCGAACTAATTATTAACACATTGTAACCGAATTAAACTCTAATGGTGATGAAAATTTAGGACAACAACATATGTATGCTTTATAGCAAGAGAAAGCCCGATTCATTCCTACCAGATACCAAGGAACTTCATTCCTCACAGAAGACGGACGAATTGATTCCTTTTTCCATACTCCACGGAAATTGCGTCTCAAGATATGAGTCTCTTCCTAACTTAAGGATTCAAAATTGGATGAAAATGTACAATAAAAATTTCAGAGAAAACTTGATTAGTCGGTCATTTTTTACCTTATTCTCGACGATGACGCCCTTTAAACCGCTGTACGCACATTTGATTGGGGTATCTGAAGAAACCAACCCAGTAACCGCCACCACCAAAGGAACCACTGCGCTTGCAGCACTGCATAATTGAGCTATATATAACAATGGATTAATTCAAGTTACAGATTCCAAACCCTAGTTACTGAGATTGAGATAGGTTCTAAATAGGGAAAATTGTAATTTTGGCCCTGTATGTTGGTCTCGTTAGAGATTTGGTCCTATAAGTTGTCTTATTCAATTTTACATGCAATTACTATGCAAAATTAGTATTTTTAGTCCTATTTCACTCAAACTTTAAATTTTAGCTGTCGTTTAATGATGTACATAACAAACTCGTAGAAATATATTTATATGGACACTAAAAAATTATAAATGCTCCTCTAATTTGGTTTATAAATGTGTAGTCTCACATGATTAATAAAGTTCTACCATCAGTAAGTTAGATGTCGAGTCTATAAATTTTCAAGCGTCCATATATGTAAAATGTGTCAAGTTTATTTGTCGCGTCATAAAATAAAAAAAATCATGCAAAATAGGACTAAAAATACTATATTTGCAAAGTTATTGCAGTGTAAAACTGAAACATGACAAGTTAGAGGACTAAACTCCTAAATAGGCCAACATAGAGGACCAAAACTATAATTTTCCCGACTTACCCAAATCCTTCAACTTACTAACCCTAGTTGCAGATTCCAAATCCTCAGCATGCCTGGAACAAGAGAAATAAAAAAAAAAAAAAAAAAAAAAAACATAAACCAAGAAAGTAATTAATCAAACCCTTCCAAGATTACTACTGCAGCATAAAAGAGTGCCGAAACAAGGCAGCAAGACGCCCCTTCAACTGGTATCATCTCTGACCAATCAATTGCGACTTTCGACCAATCCATTGCGACTTTTGACCAATCCATTGCGACTTTCGACCAATCCATGGATGCCGAGTTTAAAATAATATCCAACACAGTAAACAAAAAGGGACTAGGGTTTTTCGACGAGCACGGTTATCTTGAATGGGTTTATATTGAAGCTAGTAGTTATCTTGCTAAGGAAGAAAGGGTATTAGTAGCCGAAACACTTGGTGGGTTGGGCTGGGCTGGGTGGGGGGTGCGGCGCGGTGGCCCCCGATATTAAAAAATACATAAAAAAGTTAAGATCTTTTTTGATAATATTCTGTATATACAAATGGTATAAAGGTGAAAAGGGTGTAAGTAAAATGTTTTCCGGAACCAAAAGGACAGTAAGCCAGGTTGCACCACCAGCACCAGCCATACCACCGCGGCACCGCCGCAAATCATCCACCGGAGAAAGCGACCATGACGATAACCACCATCCCCTCACCACTTCACCCAATTCAGAGTGAAGTGAGCCAATTTCCTTCCATCGGAGAAGAAGATTTGATCTTGAAATCAATACGATGCGGTATCAATTTTTGTTTTGGGTGAGTATGTTGGATGGGTGGTGGTCGGTGGTCGGGAGAGGCGGTGGGTTTGGGGTTATTTTAGATAATTTTTGTTTTTAAATTTAATTTATTTTTTATTAATAATTTATTTTTATTTCCATTTTACTTGATGTTTTCTTCGTCAATTTACAGAGGAGTTCTCCTATTTATAGAATCCGAGAACTCCTTGTTCTGCCCTGAATAAACACACTAGAAGAGATAATGGTAGTGAGTTAGTGACTTAATTAATCATGTACTAAAATAATTAACCACTAAGTTAGAAATAAATAAATAAATCCGATTAAATCAATAAATAATTCTTTGAAGAAAATTAAAACCCAATAAATTAAATTTGACTTTAGATATCCAACAATTTCCAATGCCCATGTTATCAAGATAATTATTTTCTTAAGAAGTTAGTTATAAGTAAAATTGCTCTTAGTTAATCCTGGGAAATTGAACTTTATTTTGTAGTAATTTCACTTCAGCCTCGTGCATCACACGGGCCAAAAATTTAGTTGAAACAAAATGATTGGAGGGAAATTTAAGAATTAAAAGAAAAATAAGATACATTTCATAAAAATTAAAGGATTAATTGTCTAAAACTCCTCATTTGACTGACCTAAAAGTAACGCCTATCTTTCATTGTTCTACATTTGAAGGCCAAATCTCATAAATGGTCCCTCATCGTCACATTTAGTTTTTCATGTCTCAATTGTCTCATTTTCATGTTTCATCTCTATAATTCATCTCATTATCATCTCTTGATGTATAAACCTGTTAACTTTAACGGAATATTTTTAAAAACGGATGGAATATTACACTGTTAGAATTATTTTTGATAATTTAAGACTTTTTTCAATAAATAATAAGGTTTATAATTTAAAAATAATATTGCAACCAACAAAAATATAACTTAAAAACCTACTATTTTTACGAAACATTAATTTATATTAATATAAAACGAATCATCTATATTGTAGATATAATTTAGAAACATATTTAAATAATTATAATATGTCATCTACATATATTCTCATAAAAAAATCATTTACATTTTTTATGACCTTATGTTAATATTTAAAGAGCTAATTCAATAATATATATATTTCTAGTATTTATTAATTTATTTATAATTTATTACAAATAATTGTAAGAATAGAATATTTCATCCAATAAACAAATGATTTCGCTAAAGTTAACAAAATTATAGAACGATAAGGACTATATTGAGATAGATTGTAGAGTTGAAGGATGATAATGAGACAATTGGGACATGAGGGACTAAAGTGGGACTAAATACTAAGCTGAGGAACTATTAATGAGATTTGGCCACATTTTAATGTTTTATGATTTCTTTTCTTTTGTGAAATAACATTTTTGTTCACGTTTCTTCTTTTCGCTCTTTATACCTCGAACCGTTTCTTTAAGGTGCCGAGATCTGTGAGAAGGCCGAGCTCTTCTTGCCACAGTTTTGGTACATAGAGGGATGATCGAGCGGCCCGCACATAAATCTCCGTTCTTCTAACACCGCGTTCTTTTTCGACGTAACTCTTAATTTGTTAGGTGTGTAAACAAAGTCCCCACATCAATTTGAAGTGGGAAAGATGATGAGTTCATAAGGTTGGGAGGATATCCCAAAACTGTATAATATAAAGACCTAGAAAAAAGTGTATAATATAAGGACTAAAACTGTAATTATAAAATAGACGACCGATTTGATTCTCATGTTTGTTAGTAGATGCGATCCCCAACAACTTGTTTAACTATAAACGCAATTCACCCACACACAATTGTCGATTTATAAAACAAAAATTAGCTGAATTTTAAAATATGTCCTAGAACAAATGCGGGGTCGTATTAGATCGATCACGCAACTCTCATGCAACATTCCTTCTTCTTGAAGCTGGCAAATCATCATCAGACAAAACAAGAACAAATTAACCGAATTTTAAATTACTAAATATACAGCAGCACCTATTTAATATCTCTTAATTGGTTACCTTGTTTAGCCGCAGCAGCATCAAGAAGCCTACGTTTATATTCGGCTTCCCTGTCACGAGGTTAAATCGAACCACAAAAAATAAGGCACTATTTACGTATGTATACAAACATATACGCATGTAAGAAATGACGAATAAAGTTTACCTCTTTTGCATTTTCTTGAATTCCATGTACTGGAATGCATGCTTAGCAATGAGAACCACCCCAATTAGACCGAAAGCCGCAGAGGCATACATGCAAAACCTGAAGGAAAACAAAAATACATATCAAAGACGCTTGAAATAGGTCCTTTTAATTTACATAAAACATACATACACTAGTAGCAAATTTGCTTATTACTGCGAAATATTTTTGCTACGGTAAAAAACCGTAATAAAAGGTATTTTTTACTACGGAACAATTTTGAAGTCGTAGTAAATACTAAGATTTACCGTAACAAAAAAATATTTGGTACCGTAGCAAAGCTTTTGTCATGCCTGTATATGCTACTGGGCAAATTCGTAGCAAATGCGTAGCAAAAGCCTTTTTAGTACGAATTTGATACGTTTTGCTACGGTTAATGATCGTAGTAAAAAAACTATTTTTCTACTAGTGATACAAGGAGAAAAACTAAACCTCGACGTTTCCCGAAAATTTTCAATAATCTCGCTGACTGATCTATAGGAGACGTAAAATGGGTGTCCTCCGTATGGTTTCTGAATAACAAAATTTCCTGCTTCATCCTTAATCACCTGGTAACATAAAAAAACCAAACAATGCATTCAACATGCATTTAAGGGGACAAGTACCATAAAATAATAAAATTAAATTAAATAAAATTAACTTTATATATATATATATATATATACCTCACCAACAACCGTCAAGCATGTACCGATTGGGAGAACTCGCTCGATCTTGTGGACTCCTAAAGTCTATAAAAATACGATTACCTAACCACTTAAGCAACAATATGGGGGGTTAAAAAAAATGTGGATCGGAGTTGAGATAATAAAAATATTATAAACCTTAGCACCAGTGTCTAATTGTATTTTCTCCTGAATTGGGGTTTGTATTGACTTCTCAAACACTTCCCCTCCACATGCCATTGGCAGACAAGTGAAAGTGAAATCCTCAACCGAACGGGCTTCAGCAACACGTACACGGCTAGTGCCATCGTCCTGTTGTCAATTAAACTCACTATAACGAAATTAAGCTTTTAAGAGAAAATTTAGTAATTATGCCTATTTGATTAGAACAGCATATATAAGTTTATGCTTACCAGATACCAAGGAACTTCATTCCACACCGAAGACGGAAGAATTGATTCTTTTTTCCATTCTCCTCGGAAATTGCGTCTCAAGATATGAGTCTCTTCCTAAATTAAGGATTCAAAATTGGCTCAAAAATGTACAATAAAACTTTGGAGAAAACGTGACTAGTCGGTTATTTTTTACCTTATTCTCGACGATTACGCCCTTTAAACCGCTGTACTCGCATTTGATTGGGGTATCTGATGAAACCAATCCAGAAACCGCCACCACCAAAGGAACCACTGCGCTTGCAGCACTGCATAATTGAGCTATATATAACAATGGATTAATTCAAGTTACAAATTCCAAACCCTAGTTACGGAGATTGAGATAGGTTCTAAAGAGGGAAAATTTGTAATTTTGGTCCTATATGTTGGTCTCTCTAGAGATTTTATCCTATAAGTTGTCATGTTTCAATTTTACATGCAATAACTATGCAAAATTAGTATTTTTAGTCCTATTTCGTTCAAACTTTGAATTTTAGCTGTCGTTTAATGATGTACATAACAAACTCGTAGAAATTGATTTATATGGAGACTTAAAAATTATAAATACTCCTCTAATTTGGTTTATAAATGTGTAGTCTCACATAATTAAAGTTCTACCAATAGTAAGTTAAATGTCAAATTTATAAATTTTCAAGTGACCATATATGTGAAATTAAAATGCGTCAAGTTTATTTGTGGCATCATAAAATTAAAAATCATGCAAAATAGGATTAAAAATACTATATTTGCAAAGTTATTGCATGTAAAACTGAAACATGACAAGTTAGAGGACTAAATTCTGAAATAGGCCAACATAGAGGATCAAAAATTGTCCTATCTTATCTAAAGAGGTTCGACTTACCCAAATCCTTCAACTTACTAACCCTAGTTGCAGATTCCAAATCCTTAGCATGCCTGGAACGAGAAATAGAAAAAGAAAAGAAAAGTTGAATCAAACAAGTTGAATGAAACGAGGAATCAAACAAACAAAAACGAAAACATAAACAAGAAAGTAATCAAACCCTTCCAAGAATACTACTTCAGCACAAAAGATTGCCGAAACAAGACAGCAAGACGCCCCTTCAACTGGGATCATCTTTAACCAATCAATTGCCACTTTTGACCAATCCATTGCGACTTTCGACCAATCCATAGGTAGCTGAGTTTAAAATATATCCAACACAGTAAACAAAAAGGGGCTAGGGTTTATCGACGAGCACAGTTATCTTGAATGGGTTTATATTGAAGCTAGTAGTTATCTTGCTAAGGAGGAAAGGGTATTAGTAGCCGAAATACTTGGTGGGTTGGGCTGGGCTGGGTGGGGGGTGTGGCGCGGTGGCCCCCGAGTTTAAAAAATACATAAAAAAGTTAAGATCTTTTTTGATAATATTCTGTATATACAAATGGTATAAAGGTGAAAAGGGTGTAAGTAAAATGTTTTCCGGAACCAAAAGGACAGTAAGCCAGGTTGCACCACCAGCACCAGCCATACCACCGCGGCACCGCCGCAAATCATCCACCGGAGAAAGCGACCATGACGATAACCACCATCCCCTCACCACTTCACCCAATTCAGCCCCCACAACGCCGCCGTGGACCGTGGCCAATTCCTGTTTGTTGTTTAGCTTGCGGCTGTGGTGGGTGCCGCCGGCGGAGTATTGGAGGCCTACTTGATGTAGTAATTATTTTCGATGCAGGCGTCCGGGCAAGGATGGGTATAGTGAGCCAATTTCCTTCCATCGGAGAAGAAGATTTGATCTTGAAATCAATACGATGCGGTATCAATTTTTATTTTGGGTGAGTATGTTGGATGGGTGGTGGTCGGGAGAGGCGGTGGATTTGGGGTTATTTTAGATTTTTTTTTGTTTTTAAATTTAATTTATTTTTTATTAATAATTTATTTTTATTTTTATTTTACTTGATGTTTTCTTCATCAATTTTTCTTGGAACGAAACGAAACTATGGAATTGGATTTTTCAGAAAATCATGTTCATCATCATTTTGCTCATGTACCAAATATAATTGGAATTTTAAAAGTCGTTGATTTTCTATTCTCTTGCATTTTCATTTTTCTTATTTTAAAATTCATGAACCAATCAGAACCTTAGAATTTCATAATAGTTTTGGTAAAAGAAATGCAAATCGTCACGGTTTTAATATAGTTCTGGGGAAATATAACTTTACTACTTAATGAATTACTCAGGTACATAACAAGTTTCTTATCATTTCAGTCAATTGTGTATCATAAGTTTCATTCTTCGTAATATCTTTTCAATATATTATAATGAATACTGTTTTTTAACCATCATTTTGTTGCCTTGGAACATCAAGTTTTTGTGAACTGTCCTATTTCATTTTGTATAATTTACTCAAAAGTTCTGCGCCCTTTTTTTTTTTCTTCCCCTATTTCTCTAAGAGGTACTGAAAATGTATTGGCCCCAAATTATTTTCACCATGATTGAAATGGTAATGGTAACCCGTGGGTACCGAATATTAGTGTTAATGGTCCGGTATTCCATAAGCTTTTTAAATGAGTTTGGTATGGTTCTGATTTGAGCTTAAATAGTAATTGTTATGGTATTACATTTTTTCGAAGGTATCCGGCTATCCATTCCGCTGTCATCCTTACCCGTGAATAAGGAAAAAATAGTTGGAAGTCCCTCAAAAATGTTTTTTTTTATAGCTACTAGCAAGGTGCACGTGCGTTGCACGTGTCGTAATATTATTATATGTTGAAAATAATTTTTTTGTATCCATATTAGGTTGCAAGATGCCTTTTATAAAATATGAGTCAATTTGTTTTAGACCAAAAACATATTGCTACTTGTGTAAATATTGGAGAAATTTAAACTACATCAAATCAAACTTAGAATACCTCTCTTATCTTCTTTGTATTGCATATACATTGAAATTCATGTGAATCCTAGGAAAACATATTATTGAGATTGATGATCAAATTTGCAGTCAATTACGAGATTTTCTTTAGTATTGCTACTGTAATATGATAGTTGTTGAAGTTAATGATGTCTATGTGCAATCATTGAAAACTAATACAACTCTTATAATTCTCTGGTGGGACAGCAAATGTACTCTTGATAACCAAAATGCATTATCCAATTACAATGTTCCTCATGGTACATCTAGTCCTTATGCAGCATGCTCTACTTATTGTGGATTACCCGCTCCTTAACCAATTCACGTTTTTTTCCTTATTGAACGATGAACATACATTAGAGAAATAAACAAAAAACTGGGGAGCTTGGTGCATTAACATAATTTTCAGCTAGCAATGAGCATGAATGTAAATTATGTTCTAAACATACTCTCTACAAATTTAATTGGTATATATGACCCACAATAGTATAAAGAGAAGGTTAGGTTCGTGAAACCTTTACAAAGAGTATCACTCCACATGAACGCAAGTCTGGAGTAGCTCTATAATGGTCTCGATTGTTTAAGAGTTAGAGAATTTAGATAAATTTGAAACATAGAAGAATAGAGGTTCTCATAAACAAAAAAGAGACTTGCATATTTTAATAACATACCTAACACGCAAGTGCACGTATCGCAAACAAGTAGTAAAAGTGGACTCGTGAGAGTCGGATGTCGATCCCACAAGGAATACTCAAATCATCTAATCCTAAGTACCAAATTCTAACAATTATGATTTTTATCCAGCCTACGCAAGGTTGTCAAATTTAATCAACTAAATAATTAAACTAAATATGAAAGCAAATAAATACAAGAAAATATCAATATAAAAACGGACCTAGGATTTTATCTTCCCCCTATGCAAGAATTGCTCACCCAAAACCCCTCAATTATGAAATATATGATTCTTGATTATTAACCCGAGACACTAATTTACTCATAACCCGCTGTCGCGTGTATTATGAATCTATTATTCATAAACGGTTCACTATATGTCTATGCAAACCAATTATGAACAAAACATTAACTAACAAGTCTCGTAAATGGCTACCTAAGGTGATATCTGTATGTCTACGACACCACATGCAATTGACACACTCATCCGGTGAAAACTACTCAAAGGCTCTTTTACTCCGTCTAATTATCAAAATAGCTATGTCGAGTCAATCCCAATAATCACAGATAAAGCACATAAATTGATCAGGTTCATGCAATAACAATCATAACAAGTAGAAGAAATAATCATAAAATCATAATTGCATAATCTCAAGAAAACGGGTTCACCATCCCCACATAGGGTTCCAAGAAAATTCTAGATTAAAAACTTAGCTACTCATGTTCTGTACGAAAAACATAATAACAATATAAAAAGACATAGATTAAGAAAAGATAGATTAAAGAAGAATTGTGATGAAGATTTGTCAATTCTCCGTCTTCGATTATCCGTTCTCTCGCTCCTCTTCCTCCAAGATTGTGTTCAAAGGTAAGATACCAATTGTGTGTTTGGCTTGGCCTTTATATAGGGTGCAAAAGTATACGAGGGCGGTTTCCTTGTGTAATTAAACTTCCTTCATTGCGCCTCTTCGTGATCTCGGACGGCCGCGCCAGATTTAGTGCTGAAACTCGGACGGCCGTCCGGGCTTCAAATCTTCAAAGTTTTGATTTTGTTACTTTTGGCCCACTTTTCTCCGAAATTGCAGTTTTTTACCCCATAAGTTTCCAATTCTTCAATTTGTACCTAAAATAAAAATAATAACCATTTTAAGCACCAATTAACATTAAAACACACCAAAAGCTCCAATTAAAAGGTACGATTAAGTGTAAAAATATACACTTAGCAATATGTTACAAAGATTGAAAGATATATATCTCAAGGGAACTTGCATCTCAAGGGTAGTAAAATGTGCCTTCTTTCTTCTAGAGCACTGAGTTGGTTGTCTATTTGAATGCATTCTAAAAGAGTGTGGCAAGAGCATAATCTTGACCTTTATACACCAAAACCTGCTACAGTTCTAAATAAAACAATGAAATATATTAATGAAACTAAAACAGTTTGTCTTCAGCCATTGGTATGTCATGAAATATCAAACCAAAGAACGGAATACATGTACAACCATTTTTTTCATTTAGCTTCCTATAAACTAACTATTGAGTAAACGTATTCAAGAATACAAGATTGAGCTGAAATTTCTACTTATGCATTTTGGGTGGCTTCATTTTGTCCTTCAGCTATCAGTTTCATCATCATCATGTGACTACACCATGGATCGGAGAATCCATTTGTTGTTGACTTCACTTGTACGGTTGTACCTTCCCTGCCTGCTATATCTAAGAAATATGGTGTACATCCTACATCCTTATCTGTGGTTTTGACGGATCACATCAACTTGCTATAAAGGGAAAAAAAGAAAAAAAAACCCAATATAACTATTGAATGACCACCTCAACAAAAAACTTAAGATATTATTATTTAATACTAATATCTCCAATTCGCCCCCTAAAGTTCAAGCGGGTTACATTTGAAGCCTTGCACTTGAAATATTTGAAATGGGTGGCGGTGGGATTCAAAATCATGACCTTTCATTTGGTCTGACTCTCATACCATGTTAAATGACTACCTCAACCAAAAGCATAAGCTATTAGTGAAGTGTATCATTTGATACTATTATCTACAATAATAACATTGATAAAGCATATAAAGTATACTGGCATAATTCACTCTAGTATCCCCTTGAATGGCTCGTAGATTTTCTATAATAATATCTCCCTGAAACTCACTTAAAAGTAACGGGAACCAGATCGAAGAAATTGCAGAAAGCAGCATGCTTGCCAAGTTCAGATTTGTGTTAAAGGAATTTAATATCTAATAACTTTAAAATTTCTTATAAGAGCACGACAGTGAATACAAGTGTTTTACATAAGGTGAGAGGTATTGCCTGCAGGAGATGGATAATTCAATCAGAGCCTAAAGCTTAACTCGTGATTTTTAATTTGGAGTAAACACAAAACTCACTAAATTGAAAAGGAAACTATATATAGCCACTGGACCCTAACATTTGGAGAGAAAAAAATATGAATTTAAAAATATAAGAAATCCGTGAACAAATAAAATCATTAAAAATTCAAATAATATAGAAGATAAAACAAACAAGGGGCATTAAAATTTTTGCCATCAAAATAAAAATCATGGAATTAAGTTTATAGAAATAAATTACATGAGAAATAACTTTCAATTCCAAGTTATATTTCTCTACAATTAGACAACATAAAACCATCATCAGTCAAGTGATTAAAATTTAGGGTAAATTCCACTTTTCCCCTTGTACTTTGGTTGGATATGACTTTACTCCCTTATACTCTCAATCGCGTCGATTTACCCTCATGTACATGAAAAATTATCTCAGTGTGGCCATCGCCATTAGTTTTCAGACATTTGACCTTAACACCGCTTGATCTATATTTGAAAATTACAAAAAAACCACCCGTCCTAGTTAAAATAATTATTAAAAAAACAAATTATGGCAGACGTCGTGAACTATGTTTTCTCGTTGTCTTGAATTTTTTATTATTTTATTTTTTTGTTTTTTTGTTTTTTTATTTTTTTAAATGTTAAATAATTATTTAATTGGGAGAGGTGGCGGTTTTGTAATTTCAGAGCTTAGATCAACAGGTGTAAAGGTCAAATATCTGACAACTAACAGCGATGACCACCTTGAGACAATTTTTCAAGTATAGGAGGGCAAATTGATTTAATCGAGAATAGAAGTGGGGTAAAGTGATACCGAGCCAAAGTAAACGAGGGATGGAATTTCCCCTAAAATTTATATCACTAACCAATAGAGGTAGTCAAGCCACCGAAAGTGAAGTCACGGAGTAACTAAAACATAACAAAACTACCAATAGCAATATAAAGCCCATTTAACAGATTATTTGCTATTTATCCACTCACAATTCATAACAATAACAAAGATTAATAACATGGCAGTTCAACTTCCTATTTTCATAAAGAGGATGTGGAATACCAAAAGCCACGTAAAACCAAAAATAAATTATGGTTTCCAGAAAATGTATAGCTTAGTCTTGTTGGAGAAAGACTAACAACTTTGATGAGATTGGATCACTGCACTGGCTAAACTCAAGTCATGCAACATCACATTTGGATTAAGCAAATACAACAGCTGTAGGATCAATACATTTTCTTTCTTTTGTTATGAGTCCTAGATATTGCACATACGTGAATTTGAGATGACAAGAAAAATCCAATAGAAATAAAAAGTCCTTATAAACTTCACGCATAACATTCTTAGTCACAAACTATATCACAATGAATCTTACCTGCCAATACATAAATAAAGAATTGAACGGAAAAATAAAATGTAATTGCAAGTAAATTTAGTAGATAAAAGTTAAATCAATAATCCCTATGCATAGACCATTGATTTTTTGAATTACCTTAGTAGAAATAATTTTAAATCAATAATCCCCATGTAAATAAATAATCCCCATGCATATCCCATACATGTTTCATTCGGTCAATTAATTCAAATGATTAAAAAAAATTAACATAGTACATACAAGTGGGAAAAATATGCAAAATAACTTACGAACTTTATTAACAGAGGCTAAATCCGGTCTTGATATAGAGGATTTATTCCTTCATTAATCTAAAAAACTTTATCTATTTCTCAAAATTTAGGGTTCGAACTATTACACCTAGAACTGAAAACAAAAAAGTAAAGAAAAAGAAGAAAACGAAAAACAAATAGAGAAACGAAAGAAAAGATAAAAGATAACTTGAAAATGGAAATTACGATGATTTTCTTTTCTTTCTTTAGTGTAACGAATGCAAAATTGAAATTCATATTGAATTATGAAGACCATTGAGTTTCTTTGAATTTATTGTATAACTAACACTTAATAGATACATGAGTTCTTTTTTTCCGGTGCCTTTATACATTGAACTCTAAAAAATATCAATTATAAATATATAAACATACATTAAAAGACTAATTATAAATTAATATTAATTATTTTAATTTTGATAGGGACATTTTGGTCATCACAAAAAAGGGAAGAAACCTCCCATAACATTCCCACTTTTATAAGTAAAGTAGTATAGATAAGGACATACGGACAGTGGCGAATCCAGGATTTTTCCCAAGAGAGTTCGAAATTGTAGAATAAAAAAATTAAATATCACTTTATAAAAATAGTGGACCAAAATTTACGATTTACAAATTTTAGGTGAATTGTGGAAATATTTAAATAAATAAAAGGTGTAAAATGTTCAAATTTCAAAAAAAAAATCAGTTTTTGAGACAGTGGGGTGTCAAACCCGGACCTATTAATGAATGAAGAATATCTTTACCACCCTCAACCAATAACCTTTTCTCTCAATTTTGGTCAACTTTTCTATAACAGTACAATTTGTTTAAAATCAAGGGTGTGGAACTGCACACCCTAGATCATAGGTAGATCCGTCACCGCATATGAATTTTGATTTTTTGCTAAAGTTCTTGTGCACTTTCTCGCTCTGATCTGACGCTAGGTTGGAGTCTTTCTAACGGAATTGTTTAGGAAAACTAACGTCAATGGAGACGCGGTAATTTACACAACTTAATTATATTAATATGAAACAACTTAATTATATTCATGCAACTTAGTTATATTAATAACAACTTAGTTAAAATAAACTGAAGAAAAAACTAAGACAAGAATATATGCATTCCACAAAACATACACAACTAACAAACACATCTTAAAAAACTTATTTACAGAGTTTAATTACATTAACGAGCAAAACTTAAGGAAAAAAATGTGTTTTTCATGTAACTTACAATGAAGCTACACAACTCAGAAATCTTATTTTAATGGCTTAGTTACACAAAATAGTTAAAATAAGATGACAAAAATTTAATCTTTGCTGCGTACATCACCACCTACATTACTATCACCATAACCATCACTAAACAATTCTTCATATTTCTTCATTTCGGTTTTCATGATTATTAGGTTACAATGGAGATGAACGATTGTAACCAAAATCGTATTTGTGTGCATGCGTATGGTTGCGTATGTGTGTGTTTGCGTGTATGTGTCTGTGTGTGGTTGTGTGGCGAAGCTTCAATGGTGGCAACGGCGGTTACTATGGGTGGAGCAGATTTGACATAGTATAGCCGGTTGGACGAAATTTGTTGGAGAACAGTTAGGTAGCACGATGAAGGCGTGTGTGAAAAACAAAAGACTTTTAGCAAATTGCAAAAATTGAAAATGACGCTTGTATTGCACAAATCAGAAACGACTACATTAAAGGTGATAGAAAAAAAAAAATATACCTTCCACGATTACTACTGCACCGTAATAAAGTGCCAAATTGGGATCATCTTTAACCAATCAATTGCCAGTTTCGACCAATCAGTTGCGACTTTTGACCAATCCATTGCGACTTTCGACCAATCCATAGATGGTGAGTTTAAAATAATATCCAACAGAGGAAACAAAAAAGGACTAGGGTTTTTCGAGAAGCCCACTTATCTTGAATGGTTTTATACTGAAGCTAGTTATCTTGCACACGAAGAAAGGGTATTACTAGGCGAAACAATTGGTGGGTTGGTTGGGGTGGGGTGCGGCGGTCCCCAAGATAAAATAAAATAAATGTAAGGTCTTTTTTTATAATATTCTGTATTTATACTCATAATTGTTCCCATGCGTATCCACCATGAGTATCTACTTTATTGAATGAAACAAGGAATCAAACAAACAAAAACGAAAACATAAACAAGAAAGTAATCAAACCCTTCCAAGAACACTACTGCAGCACAAAAGATTGCCGAAACGAGGCAGCAAGACGCCCCTTCAACTCGGATCATCTTTAACCAATCAATTGCCAGTTTCGACCAATCAGTTGCGACTTTTGACCAATCCATTGCCACTTTCGACCAATCCATAGATGGCGAGTTTAAAATAATATACAATACAGGAAACAAAAAGGGACTAGGATTTTTCGAGGAGCACACTTATCTTGAATGGTTTTATAAAGCTAGTTATCTTGCACACTAAGAAAGTGTATTACTAAGCTAAAATATTGTTGGGTTGGGTTGGGGTGGGGTGGGGCATCGGGTGCGGTGGTCCCCAAGATTAAATAAAATTAATGTAAGGTCTTTTTTTTATAACATTCTGTATATATACTCATAATTGTTCCCGTGCATATCCACCATGAGTATCTGCTTTATTGAATGAAACAAGGAATCAACAACAAAACAAACCCATAAATAAGAAAGTAATCCAACCCTTCCAAGAACACTACTGCAAAACAAATGATTGCCGAAACGAGGCAGCAAGACGCCCCTTCAACTGGGATCATCTTTAACAAATCAATTGCCACTTTCGACCAATCAGTTGCAGCTTTTGACCAATCCATTGCGACTTTCGACCAATCCACAGATGGCGAGTTTAAAATAATATCCAACAAAGTAAACTAAAAGGGACTAGGGTTTTTCGAGGAAGACACTTATCTTAAATGGTTTTACACTGAAGCTAGTTTTCTTGTACACGAAGAAAGGGTATTACTAGGCGAAACAATTTGTGGGTTTGTTGGGGTGGGGTGGGGCGTGGGGTGCCGTGGTCCCCAAGATTAAATAAAATAAATGTAAGGTCTTTTTTTATAATATTCTGTATATATAGTCCTAATTGTTCCCGTGCGTATCCACCAGCTACTAATGACTATCCGCTTTATTAAATGAAACGAGGAACCAAACAAACAAAAATGAAAACATAAACAAGAAAGTAATCAAACCGTTCCAAGAATACTACTTCAGCACAAAAGATTGCCGAAACAAGGCAGCAAGACGCCCCTTCAATTGGGATCATTTTTAACTAATCAATTGCCAGTTTCGACCAATCAGTTGCGACTTTAAACCAATCCATTGCGACTTTCGACCAATCCATAGATGGCGAGTTTAAAATAATATCCAACACAGTAAACTAAAAGGGACTAGGGTTTTTCGAGGAGCACACTTATCTTGAATGGTTTTACACCGAAGCTAGTTATCTTGTACACGAAGAAAGGGTATTACTAGGCGAAACAATTTGTGGGTTGGGTTGGGGTGGGGTGGGGCGTGGGGTGCGGCGGTCCCCAAGATTAAATAAAATAAATGTAAGGTCTTATTTTATAATATTATGTATATAGACTCATAATTGTTCCCGTGCGTATCCACCAGCTACTAATGAGTATCCGTTTTATCGAATGAAACGAGGAATCAAACAAACAAAAAGGAAAACATAAACAAGAAAGTAATCAAACCCTTCCAAGAATACTACTTCAGCACAAAAGATTGCCGAAACAAGGCAGCACGACGGCCCTTCAACTGGGATCATCTTAAACCAATCAATTGCCAGTTTCGACTAATCAGTTGCGACTTTTGACCAATCCATTGCGACTTTCATCCAATCCATAGATGGCGAGTTTAAAATAATATCCAACACAGGAAACAAAAAGGGACTAGGATTTTTCGAGGAGCACACTTATCTTGAATGTTTTTATACTTAAGCTAGTTAGCTAGCACACTAAGAAAGGGTATTACTAGGCGAAACAATTGGTTAGTTGGGTTGGGGTGGGGTGGGGCATGGGGGTGCGGTGGTCCCCAAGATAAAATAAAATAAATGTAAGGTCCTTTTTTATAATTCTCTGTATATATACTCATAATTGTTTCCGTGCGTATCCACCATGAGTATCCGTTTTATTGAATTAAACAAGTAATCAAACAAACAAAAACGGAAACATAAACAAGAAAGTAATCAAACACTTCCAAGAACACTACTGCAGCACAAAAGATTGCCGAAACGAGGCAGCAAGACGCCCCTTCAACTGGGATCATCTTTAACCAATCAATTGCCAGTTTCGACCAATCACTTGCGACTTTTGACCAATCCATTGCGACTTTTGACCAATCCATAGATGGCGAGTTTAAAATAATATCCAACACAGGAAACAAAAAAGGACTAGGATTTTTCGATGAGTACACTTATCTTGAATTGTTTTATACTGAAGCTAGTTATCTTGCACAGTAAGAAAGGGTATTACTAGGCGAAAAAATTGGTGGGTTGGGTTGGGGTGGGATGGGGCGTGGGGTGCGGTGGTCCCCAAGATTAAATAAAATAAATGTAAGGTCTTTTTTTTATAACATTCTGTATATATACTCATAATTGTTCCCGTGCGTATCCGCCATGAGTATCTGCTTTATTGAATGAAACAAGGAATCAAACAAACAAAAACGAAACCATAAACAAGAAAGTAATCCAACCCTTCCAAGAACACTACTGCAGCACAAAAGATTGCCGAAACGAGGCAGCAAGACGCCCCTTCAACTGGGATCATCTTTAACCAGTCAATTGCCAGTTTCAACCAATCAGTTGCGACTTCTGACATATCCATTGCGACTTTCGACCAATCAATAGATGGCGAGTTTAAAATAATATCTAACACAGGAAACAAAAAAGGACTAGGATTTTTCGAGGAGCACACTTTTCTTGAATGCTTTTATACTGAAGCTAGTTATCTTGCACAGTAAGAAACGGTATTACTAAGTGAAAAAATTGGTGGTTGGGTTGGGTGGGTGGGGCGTGGGTTCGGGTGGGGCGTGGGGTGCGGTGGTCCCCAAAATAAAATAAAATAAATGTAAGGTGTTTTTTATAATATTCTATATGTATACTCATAATTATTCCCGTGCGTATCCACCATGAGTATCTGCTTTATTGAATAAAACAAGGAATCAAACAAACAAAAACGAAAAACATAAACAAGAAAGTAATCAAACCCTTCCAAGAACACTACTTCAGCACAAAAGATTGCCGAAACAAGGCAGCAAGACGCCCCTTCAACTGGGATCATCTTTAACAAATCAATTGCCACTTTCAACCAATCAGTTGCGACTTTTGACCAATCTATTGCGACTTTCGACCAATCCATAGATGGCGAGTTTAAAATAATATCCAACACATGAAAAAAAAAGGGACTAGGATTTTTGGAGGAGCACACTTATCTTGAATGGTTTTATACTGAAGCTAGTTATCTTGCACACTAAGAAAGGGTATTACTAGGCGAAACAATTGGTGGGTTGGGTTCGGGTGGGGTGGGGCGTGGGGTGCGGTGGTCCCCAAGATAAAATAAAATAAATGTAAGGTCTTTTTTTATATTATTCTGTATATATACTCATAATTATTCCCGTGCATATCCACCATGAGTAACCGCTTTATTGAATGAAACAAGGAATCAAACAAACAATAACGAAAACATAAACAAGAAAGTAATCAAACCCTTCCAAGAACACTACTTCAGCACAAAAGATTGCCGAAACAAGGCAGCAAGACACCCCTTCAACTGGGATCATCTTTAACCAATCAATTGCCACTTTCGACCAATCAGTTGCAGCTTTTGACCAATCCATGGCGACTTTCGACCAATCCATAGATGGCGAGTTTAAAATAATATCCAACACAGTAAACTAAAAGGGACTAGGGTTTTTCGAGGAGCAAACTTATCTTGAATGGTTTTATACTGAAGCTAGTTATCTTGCACACTAAGAAAGGGTATTACTAGGCGAAACAATTGGTGGGTTGGGTTGGGGTGGGGTGGGGCGTGGGGTGCGGTGGTCCCCAAGATAAAATAAAATAAATGTAAGGTCTTTTTTATAATATTCTGTATATGTACTCATAATTGTTCCTGTGCGTATCCACCATGAGTATCGGCTTTATTGAATGAAACAACGAATCAAACAAACAAAAACGAAAACATAAACAAGAAAGTAATCAAACCCTTCCAAGAACACTACTTCAGCACAAAAGATTGCCGAAACAAGGCCGCAAGACGCCCCTTTAACTGGGATCATCTTTAACCAATCAATTGCCACTTTCGACCAATCAGTTGCGACTTTTTATCAATCCATTGCGACTTTCGACCAATCCATAGATGGCGAGTTTAAAATACTATCCAACACAGGAAACAAAAAGGGACTAGGATTTTTCGAGGAGCACACTTATCTTGAATGGTTTTATACTGAAGCTAGTTATCTTGCACACTAAGAAAGGGTATTACTAGGCGAAACAATTAGTGGATTGGGTTGAGGTGGGGTGGGGCGTGGGGTGCGATGGTCCCCAAGATTAAATAAAATAAATGTAAGGTCTTTTTTTATAATATTCTGTATTTATACTCATAATTGTTCCCCTGCGTATCCACCAGCTACTAATGAGTATCCGCTTTATTGAATGAAACGAGGAATCAAACAAACTAACTATTACAAGTAATAAGGGGCAGTTCCGAATGCTTTCCAAGCCTCAACCGCTCCGCAACTTCCCTCAAAACCGCCGACATGGTCGGCTGTCGTGGCCTGCCTTGCTCGGGCGCGCGCGCACCAAACGACCCAATACAGCCCGGCCGGTTGCTAGGCAGCCCATCTGCCTTGCCTTTTCCGCATAATTTGCTTGCCTTGCCAATCATTTGCTAGTTCTTTGTCCACACGGTCATTGGCACTCCCGCACATCGGGCTGCCTTCCTTGACTTGTCAACCGGTCGTGCTAACTTGCCCACACTTATAAAGTCGTGGTCGATTTCCTTCGAACGTTCATTTGCGAAAGTTCTCGGCTACATGTCGATTACTGCCCACACTTGTCCGCATTCGCAGCCGAGCAGCGCCCGTGCCAGACACAAGTACTTTCAATAACCGCTCCCACTTGAATCAAGTCATTCCTTGTTTCTCGACAAACACCCCAAATGCTTGCCCAACACTCGACCACTCATTAGCCGATTGTGAGGCTGTCTTGTGCCAACCCTTTCTTATCACCCTTTTTCGGCCATGACTCGGCCACACTCGAGTCATAGCCAATATCACCGACTAATTAACGGGGTAACAGATACCTATCTTTAAGCTAAATATCTCCCTCTCTATTTTCAGTATTGATTTTGTTTAACTTCCATCATTTTAACTAATCACTGATTTATTTTTATTATTTTATAATTTTTCTTTATCTTTATTTTCGTAGGATTTTATAGAAGCGAAATATTTTTCTCTTAAAAGGGAAGTCTACCAAGAAACCACAGTAAAAATGTATTTATTTTCTTTTTGTTAAACATGAACATATAGATTAATTTCAAGTGTCGGCATTTAATTATTTCTATAATATAATTTATCAAATATTTCATTAGTAGTTTTAAATTTTAGATTTATTTTTATCAAAATAATACGCCATTAATAATTTATATCTCTAAAACAAAATTAAGATGTATAATTAAATTAAGGCAAAGTGAGTTTTTTAGTCCTGTAAATTTGTTAGTTGGGAGTTTTAGTCCATCATGTTTCAAAATCAGAATTTTAGTTCTGTAATTATAAAAGTTTGGAATTTCGTTCATGTGACCTGCGATAACTATTAATGTGATGGTTGTTGAATGAGTTGACATTTAATTTATAAAACTAAATAGATTAAAAATAAATTAGGTGATATGGTTAATGAGTTGAATGATTTTGAAGAGAAGTTTGATCCTCGATGTTAAAGACACTAAAATAATGAAAAATATTTAACATATTAATTTATATATTTACTTTTTGTTATATTTTTGCAATAAAGAACCTCAAATATATATATATATATATATTCAAAATTCTGTTAAATTAAATGTACCAAAAAATCAGTTTAGAGCCTCCAAACGTAAAATATGTTATCAAACTAAGAGTAACAAATACACATAACGAGTAATAAAATATAGTTAATTACTATTTCTATCATTGAAAACTATGAAATATTAATTAAAAAAATAGTTACTACAAAAATGCTTATTTCATTCATCAAATAAAAAAATAATTTGACGGAATATTTTATTTCCCTCCAAAATCGTCCAACTCATCAGCCACATCATCTAGTTTCTTTTTAATATATTTATTTTTCTAAATTAAATGTCAACTCATTCAACCAACCATTGTCTAACCTGTTATAGTAGGTCATATGACCAAAATTCTCAATTTTTGAAACTTACAGAACTAGAATTCTGATTTTGAAACATGATGGACTAAAACTCCCAACCAGCAAACTTACAGAACTAAAAAACTCATTTTGCCTTAAATTAAAATGGTAACTACCATTGTAAAGATTTGGGCTAAATACAACTTGCACCCTTAAAGTATAGGGTTTGTAACATTTACCCCCTTAAAGTTACAAATGTAACACTTACCCCCCTCATTAATGAATTTAATGATAAAACTTTGACTTTGAATGATGTGACATTTTTTCTTCCTAAATTATCCTTCTAGCTATTATATTGATGCATATATAATAATATATTTTCAATAATATTTCAAAAACTAAATCTTATAAAATATAATTATTATTAAATTTTTTTTTTGATTTATGTTTAACTTCACATTTTAATTACTATAGACCCTAATATAAATAAAAATCTCAATATTTTAAAAAATATACAAAATATGTTAAACATTTGCAAGAAAAAAAAATATTTTCAAGACTTAAATGTCCAATTTTTTTTATACTAATTATTGATTTGAAAATTTATTTCAGTTACTTAAATTTCAATAAAAAAAATATTTAAATATTTAGACGTTTAAATTATAATTTCTTATTAACTTTTGAATACACTTTGTGATTCTCAGAGTAAAAAGTGAGATGATTATATTAGAGTCATATACGCATTAAAATAACTATATAAACTATAAAATCATAATTAAAATTTGTTAGCTACAAATCAACACAAGGTAAAACAAAAATGAAACTAAAATTCAATTTTTTTCATTCGTAAATTTACAATATTAAAATAATAAAATTAAGTTTTTGCAAAGTTGCCGAATTTTTTAATATTACGTATTCATTATTTATATAATGGCTAGAAGGACAATTTGGGAAGAAAAATGTCACATCATTCAAAGTCAAAGTTTTACCTTTAAATTCATTAATGAGGGGGGTAAGTGTTACATTTGTAACTTTAAGGGTGTAAGTGTTACCGCCCCTATGCTTTAAGGGTGGAAACTGTATTTAGCCCTAAAGATTTTAAAATAAAATAATAGAAAAAATATTGAGTAAAACATCATTTTCACTTTTTATATTTTATTTATCTTTAGAATAAATATTAGTTAGACAAAAAAATATGATTACATAGTTCAATACAAGTAGATATAAAACAAATACAACTAAAAGAAAGGAAAAAAAATGAGTACAAATTATAGTTACTGGAATATTTATTATTATAAAACTGAAAATATTTAAGTTTGTTAGACTTGTCTTAAGAAAACAAATAAGAAAAGGGTATAGATGGTATAACATGTAATCTAGAGGGTAATCAACATATAGATTAACATTATACAAAATATACACTAAGCAAGCATAATTTGATCATAAAACAGTATAATTATGAAAGTATAATAAAATTCTAGGATTTTTAAGACAATGAATATTAGGACCTAAATCCTCGTACGTTCTTGCTCATCCTGAACAACTCTTTCAAGAGCAAAAGTGAATTCCAGAACTTGCAGCCATATTCTTAACACTGACTTTGGAGAAGGGGCCGGCAAGAATAAGGAGGTTTTTCGTTAATTTGTACGTCATCCTAGTCACCTTTAAACGCATTGAATTACGGCAATTTTTTACGAAACTTATATGTATATGGTATACCTGTCTGAATCAAATAAGCTGTTTTATTTATTTGATTGAAACTTGAATCGGGTTTCGGGTTTTCAGTCCAAACAATACTTATATACTAGCATTTTTGTAAAAAAATTATTCATCAGTCTTGCTGTTTTTATTTCTCTGCATATGAATCCATGCATCGTCTCTTATTTTGGTAAACAAGTGTTAATAATCGGTGAGGGTTGATAACTTTTTGACATCAATGTTATCATATTCAATAAGCACAGCGGACAATATTTCCGACAACACACGCACCTAGAGAAATTCGAACCCCCGATGTCTGCCTACACAAACTAAGCCGATACCGTACCACTAGGTTAAACCTTTTAATTCTGTTATTAAAAAAAAAAAAATTTAAATAAATAAATTGAAATGTTAAACATATTAGATAATATTCTGTCTCCTCTTTGTCTGCAGGTTCACTCTCATGCATCACTGCTTGTTTGAAGCTGATAAATTAAATCATCATCAAAAAGGAACAACTTAATTAGCCGAATTCTAATTGCTAAAAGCACACGCACACTCACACACACAAAGGACAACACATAATAAAAAAAAAAAAAAAAAACTAATTAATTCATACTCGAATGTTTCTTAATTGGTTACCTTGTTTAGCAGCAGCAAGAAGCCTACGTCGAAGCTCAGCTTCCCTGTGAAGTTAAATAGAACCGCAAAAAATAAGGCACTATTTTTCTATATCATGCAATGGATTTTTTAAGGTTTTCTCGATCTATATTATATTAATATACAAAAATATGAAAGTAAAAACTCAACCGTATATAATGTTTATTACCTCTTTTGCATTTTCTTGTATTCCATGTAGCGGAATGCATGCCTTACAATGAGAATCCCCCCCATAACACCAAAAGCCGCAGAGGCATACATGCAAACGCTGAACGAAAACACATACATATTAAACACGCTGCAAATAGGGTTTATTTTTATTTTATTTTTTTATATTAATATTTATAGAGAGTTGGGGTTCGAGCACACATAGGAGTAAAAATAAACCTGGAGTGTGACCGAAGGTTTTCAATAATCTCGCTGACTGATCTATAAGAGATGTAATAAAATGGGAGCCGATACGGTTTCTGAATGGCAAATGCTCCTGTTTCATCCTTAATCACCTGCTCACATTATTATAATAATTAAAAAAAAAAAAAATAAAAAGATTAGTTAACAAAATTCATGGAAATGCATAACTCGAAAAACTTTAGAATTAAAAAGAAAATATATATATACATACCTCACCGATAACCGTCAAGCATGTACCGGTTGGGAGAACACGTTCCGTCTTCTGTACTCCTAAAGTCTATACAAATAACATAGGTAATCAGTTATACTAATTTCAAGAAGCTAAGCAACAACGTAGCGTAAAGAAATGCAGACAACCTTAACACCGTTGTCTAATTCAATTTTCTCGTGAATTGAGGATTGTATTGACCTCTCGAACACTTCACCTCCACATGTCATTGGCAAACCAGCATATGTTAATGTATTTGCCGAACGGGCATCAAGAACACTTGCACGACCGGTACCATCATCCTGGGGTGTCAATCATCAAACTAATTATTAACACATTGTAACCAAATTAAACTTGTAATTTAACTCTAACTAGTATTTTGCCTCGTGCGTTGACAGGTGGATATTGAAAAAAAATATAAGATAAGCAAAATTAGAAATTAGTAAACATATATGACATGTACAATAGCAAAACAGAACACCCAAAATGTAAAAATTCCACTAATTGCAATCGTAATATATATATTTTAACAATAATATTTAATACACATACGTGTGCTATAAAAAATGAGAGAAAAGTTAGTGCTGGAAGGGAAAAAAAAAAAGAAGAAAAGAAGAAAAAGAAAATAATTAAAAAGAAAAAACAAACGAGAAAAAAAAAATCAAAATTGATCGTGTTTAGTAGAGAAAAAAAAGGATAATAAAAAAAATGTGTCCTGTAAAAAAAGAAGAGAGAAAATTTAGTGTTGAAAGAGGAAAAAAAGAAAAAGAAGAAAATATTTAAAAATAAAAAAATGTGAAAAAGGAAGAAAGAAAAAAAGAAAAAGAAAACAATTAAAAAAACTATGTGGTCTATAGAAAAGAAAGAAAAAACAAAGCCCGCATGGGAGTAGCTCAACTGGTTCCGGAGGTGGTAAATTGGTGCAAGTAAGAAAAAACAAATAATTTTGAATGTGCTATAAAAAAAAAGAAAATAAAGGAAACAAATATTTCACAAATATATTTTAAGAAAAAATTGCTTTTAGGGTTTCGACGCAAACCTTTCTTTTATATATAAACATGTGACGTAGTAATGAGTGTTTCAGCTAAATAATATGTATGCTTTTTTGCAAGAGAAACAGGGCAGAGCCCGATTCATACCAGGTACCAAGGAACTTCATTCCACACCGAAGCCGGAAGAATCGATTCTTTTTTCCATACTCCTCGGAAATTGCGTCTCAAGATATGAGTCTCTTCCTAAATTACGGATTCAAAATAAATTGGGTTATTAAATGTGCAATAAAAGTAAGAATGTGGGTGACTTCGTCGAGTTTGTTTTTTACCTTATTATCGACGATTACGCCCTTCAAACCGCTGTACTCGCATTCGATTGGGGTATCTGAAGAAACCAACCCAGTAACTGCCACCACCAAAGGAAACACTGTACTCGCAGCATCCAATAATTGAGCTGTAAAGAACAATCTATTGATTCACTGATCATTCATTACAGTATGATGAGAATACGACAAAAATTAGAAGAAAAACTAGATTGAACTTACACAAATCCTTCAACTTACTAACCCTAACCACAGAATCCAGTTCCTTAGCTTCCCTAAAAAAAATAAAACAAAATAAAAAGGGTAAATTACAACCACCCCTGAGGTATGGTCAAATTACGGAAACTACCTCCTATTAGGGTAATTACAACCACCGCTCAACTATAAATTTGCGATCCAAATTTAGTGGAATTTTCGAGATTATATGGAATATTATCATTTTTGTACCCGTTTTATCCCATTCGAACTCTACATTTGGAAGCAAGATGATCATAATATGTGTTTTTTGGCATGTATATATCAGATTGTTGTGCATCATAAATTGTATTTTTACACAAAATGAGTACAAACTAGAGCACATTTCACGAAATCTAGATGATTATGTTGAATTTGATATCATAAGGGTGGAGGTGTAAGAAAAAATCATAGTTGAGAAGATAGATGTAACAATTCAAAAAGAGGGGTTTTTTCGTAAATTAACCTACTTAAGGAGTGGTTGTAATTTACCCTAAAAAAAATAAAAAGCAGAAAACAGAAAAGAAATAGTTGAATCAGAGAAGTTTCTTTTGAATCAAACAAACAAGAAAGAAAAGGATGATCAGACCCTTGGACAAGTGCTCCTCCAGCATATAAGACGGCTGAAACAACGCAGCAAACCGTCCCTTCAACTGGAATCAACCACGACCAATCAATTTCGAGTTTCGACAAATCAATTTCGAGTTTCGACAAATCCATTTTGAGTTTCGACCAATCCATTGCAGAATTGAAAAGATTCGAGAAGGGCTAGGGTTTTCCGATGGTCGAGTTGTTGTGATCTTCCAAGGGTTTTGTTCTGAAGCTACTAGTTATCTTGCTGCAAAAGAAAGAAAAGGGTATTATTGTGGTATTTATTTGAATTGAGATACGCCACGCCCTTATAACGAAACCCCAACTAAACCCCTCATAATTTGCATTCTGAATTTACCCCCAACTCGATGAGCTCGAGCTCGAACTCGGTAAAATGCGTTCGAGCTCGACTCGTTCACACCCCTAATGTATAGTTGTGCCGATAATGATTTATAATATACTAAAAACTTGGTTAGTCGGGTAATATCGGCCAACCAACTTTATTTCTTATTTATTAATTTTATTGCTTATCTAATATTGACTAAACATAATTTATGGAGATTAAACATTTTAAAGTATTGAATTCTTGTTCAGTTCTTGCAAATTGGAAAACACATAAAAGTTCAATATATTGTGTCGTATTTTGGATTTTTTATTTATGTTGAACTATTTTAATTTTAAGACACATAAGCTAAAATATTTGAATTTATTATAATATTGTTGAACAGATTATGTTTAATTACAACACATATAGCTTATACCGTTTTAAATTTTTTTTATTAAATATTGTTGAATTAATTATAGTAATATAATATTGTTGTAATAAAATATTCAAAAAAAGGATTTTTTTTTAAATGTGTATGACCTAACAACTAACCCACCAATCGATCCACAAAGTTGGATATCAACCAACATTCAACCCATCTAAGTTGGATTGATAATAATTTTGAATATTTATCATTATTGGTTAGTTGGGTTGGGTTGGGTTGGGTTGGGTTGGTTTAATTGCCGATAATCAACCAACTCAACCCACGGACAACCATACGTATGTTATCAATTTTGTATGCATCAGCAATACTTCCGCGTTTAATTACTGGAATTCATTTAAACATTTTGCACTTTTTTTTATAATTTTTTTAATAACTTTTTTAATTTAAAAATAATAATATATTTTTTTTGTAATTTAAAAAATAATTATTTTTGGGAAAATGGCAAATAAGCTCATTACAAGAACATTTAATTAAAAAATGACATCCAACTTTTTTGTTTTCCAAATAAATCCACATTATTGAAATTTATCTGCAAATAAGGAAAACGCTTATATATACCAAAATTACCCCCAACTCCTTGAAGCCCTAATTTAACTCAAAATTCATGATCTACAACTCAATTTAGAGGGTGTTTGGCTAAGCTTATAAGATGTTAAAAGGAGCTTATAAGATGTTTTAGAGCTTATAATCTCTTTCAAAGTGTTCGGTAATTTTTTAAAAAAAGATCTTATTTTTTTCTAAAAATAAGCTATTTGAGAGCAAATAAGATTTTTTTTTAAACATAAATCTACCCCACTTTTTTATTTAAGATCTTATAATGAGTACAAATAAGAAATAAGCTTATTATCCAAACACTCTAAAAATTAATCCTAAAAATAAAATGTAACAGCTTATCAGCTCTTAAAACATCTTATCAGATGTAACTACTTATCAGCTGTTCAAAATAAGCTTAGCCAAACACCCTCTTAATCCAATTAATCAATTTTGACCCCAATTTTAACCGCCACCGCCGGAGACCGCTGGTCTCCGACGTTGATTTTTTTATGTTGTTTTCATGTTTTTTTCTTAAAAGATATTTTAATTAATATAACTGTCTTGTTCTCCTATATTACTGCCACCGACAGTAATATTACTGTCGGAGATAGTAATTTAACTGTGTGTGACAGTAATATTACTCTGTGAGATAGTAATTTTATTCATTTAATTAATCGTCTTGGCCTGCAATTTTGCTGTCTTCGACTATAATATTACTCCCTCTAACCGTAACATTACCATCTCATGCAATAATATTACTGTTTGGAACAGTAATAGTAGTAATATTGTTGTTCGGGAAAGTAATATTCATAATATTATTGTTCGGGACAGTAGTATAAGTGTTCGAGACAGTAATATTACTATCTGGGACAGTAATATAACTGTTTTGGCATTCAATATTAGTAACTCAGAAAATAATTTTGTTGTTAACACGGTAATTTAGAGATAAAAAAAATCAAAAAAAAAAAGGCAACGCCGGAGACTAGCGGTCAACAATGATTGACCTTGCAATTTTTGTGATATTTTACATTAAATTAGGGTGGAAAGGGTCATGGGGTCCCCCCGCAGGGTCGACCCGTCGGACCTCAGGTCCGCATAAATAAGACCCGAAACCGACCCATGCTAAATACGAAGTGCATGCAAGCTCCGGCACATCGGCCTCTCAATCTAAATTTTCCCAATCTCAAACCGTTAGTGCGAGTGTAACTCAACAAGAACCAACTTTTAAGTCGGAAAAAAAATCAGGTGTATAGAAACACTACCACTATAAAATGAATGAAGATGGCATATACATCTTGCCTGTAAAAGCCGTTTGCAACTATAGAAAAAAAAAAGTATCGTTCTTGGTTAAAGAGTTATGGCACAACAAACATAAGACATCATATTTACAATGCTTGTTTACAATCGTCAGTCTTGTTGGATAAGAGCAATCAAACTCAGTTTGTGTGGATAAATCCAAAAATTATTTTCTGAAAAAAAAAAATTCAAAAAATTATTATTTTGGGGGTTAATGTGACATATTTGTTTAAATCCGGGTTCAATGTGTAATATTAAGGAAGTTAGAGCATAATGGATGGAATTGATATTAATTATATTATGGAGGGTATTTTAGACTAAAGACATGGGCATGAGTTTATTTGAAAGACTGTTTTTTTTTATGGACCAATGTGCATTTAAGTCCCATGTGATAGGCTTATTTGCCATTCGCCCTAAGAAATCACCCTAATTATAATTAGGGTTAGAGACTTAGAGGGGTTACGGGTTCTGCTGGGTTTTCTTTTTTTCTTTTTTCTTTTTTTTTTTCCAATTATTAGAATCATAATTATATTTTTATTTAAATTAGAATCATAATTATATTTTTATTTAAGCTAGCATTTTTTCTCCCGATGCACGGGATATTATTTTAAAAGTGAAAAAAAAAAAATTTAAAAGTGAAAAGAAATAATCAATTTAATACATAATAAGAATAATAGTACACCATAGTAAAATTTAACAATGTAGTATTATTCATATTTTATATAACATTAGTTTTAAAAAAAAATCTTATATATTAATATTTATAATCCAAATATATAGATTAACATTTAACAAATCGTATTTGTATATTTATCTCTTAAGATTTGAGATATATTGATGAAAAATAGGAGATTGATAATTGTTGAAAATAAATAGTTAGAAATTAGTTGAGAAAAAATATTAAAAATAAGTAATTACAGAAATAACAATAGGGTTTTTTAGGGTTGCCGAGCGTTTCTTTCTTTTATATATAAAATTATCCACGTGTCAATCATCCTATAACATCCGATTTTCCTATTAAAACAGGTCATCCGATCAAAATTTGCACCCATTTATTATATACTATCAATTCTTCTAATCTGATCATTGTATTGCGAGAAAATTAATTACTATCTGCTCTCCACGTTCAATATAATATATAATATTCTTACATTGACTTAATCAACTATAAGCTTGAATTATTATACTACCAACTTGAACATTAAACAAAGTAATTAGTTGCTCTATTATTCATATCAAAGCCATCTCAAACACACCTTTACAAACACAAACAAAGAAAAAAATTGCTAGCGACCATGGCCGATGCTATCGTTTCCATGTTACTGGATCGGCTTGCAGCTCTCGTAGAAGATCAGGCCCGAAACGAAGTGAATTTGGTGAGAGGAGTTGAGAATGAGATTCTCGATCTTTCATATGAGTTGAAGACAGTTAGAAATGTGTTGGACGATGCGGAGAAGAAAGGATACAAGGATAAAAACGTCAAAGATTGGTTGGATAGGCTTGAACGAACGGCCTACGAAATGGACGATGTTTTGGATGAATGGAATATGGCCATTCTCAAATTTCGGATCCAACAATCTAACAATGCTGCTTCTAAGAAAAAGGTATGGTCCTTTATCTCCACTTCGTGTATATGTTTCAAGAAAATATTTGCTATTCGTCGTCATATTGTCTTGAAAATCAAAGAAGTGAAAGCGCGACTCGACCTAATTTTGGTGGAGAAAGATCTATACGGTTTTGTGATCTCTCGTTCTGTTAATCCTTCTTGCGAATCGTGGAGAGTTCAATCTACTTCTTTGGTCGACTTAGAGGAAATATGTGGTCGTGATGTTGAGAGAGAAAACCTAGTGAGCAAACTAGTGGTTGAAGGTGGTAGTACTGGAGAAGAATTAGGAATCCAAATTCTCTATGTAGTAGGTGTGGCGGGACTTGGGAAGACAGCTCTTGCTAAACTAGCTTATAACGATAGTCGAGTAAAGAACTGTTTTCAATTAAGAATTTGGATATGTGTTTCCGATACTTTTGATGAGATTGGATTGGCCACACGAATTATAGAGGGAGCAGGAGGGCGTAAACCAAAAACCAACCAATCGGAAATTGTACTCCAATGTCTAAAAGACACTATTTCAGAGAAATCGTTTCTTCTTGTCCTGGATGATGTTTGGATAGAAGACCGTACCAAGTGGGAAACCTTGAAAAATTGTCTTCAAGATGGTGGGCCGGGTAGTAAGATTTTGGTAACAACTAGAAACAAAAGAGTTGCAATAATGATGGGTGCCGTTAAGAATGAGATCCACCATTTAGGACATCTCTCCCATGACAACTGTTGGTTATTATTAGGTCGGATAGCCCTTTCCGGAAAGTATACAGAAAACTGTGGAATGTTTGAGAACATAGGTAAGAATATTGCTAAGAAGTGCAAGGGATTGCCACTTGCAGCGAAGACTTTGGGAAGTCTTTTGCATTTTAAAAATACCTTCGAAGAGTGGGAAAACTTATTGACTAATGAAATATGGGAGTTGGAGGAAGAGGAAGTTGAACTCTTCCCTCATTTGATTCTGAGTTACAACGAATTGTCTCCATCACTTAAGTGTTGCTTCTCATACTGTTCGGTCTTTCCTAAAGGTACCGAAATTGATGTGGAAAAACTAATAACAAAATGGATGGCAATGGGTTACCTAGGATACAATGGTGACTGGAAACTTAGAGGGAGAGAATACTTTGATAAGTTAGTAATGCGTTCTCTATTTCAAGACTTTGAGAAAGGTATTGGTTATGATTATGAACTTATAAAATCATTTAAGATGCATGACATAATACACGATTTTGCTCAATTCCTTCGGAAGAAAAATGGCGGACTAATGAAGCAAACAACTTGCCAAACGTGTAGCCCTTTGATTGTTTCCCATGTCAAACAATACCGTAGTTTGTTTCACCAAAAGGAACTTCCCGATCCACATCTTTGTGATCGACTCACAAGTCTGAGGTTACTAAGCCTAAGGAAATGCGGCTTGCAAAGTATTCCGAAAGAAATTGAAGTGTTGATTCACTTGAGGTGGTTGGACTTGGGTTGTAACAAATTTCCCGACGAAGATTTGAAGACCATATGTAAGCTTTACAACTTGCAATTTCTTTGGGTGGATGAATGCGAGCTGCAAGAGATTCCGCGTGAAATTGGGAATTTGATCAAGTTGATACACTTGGACATGAGCTCTAATAAACGCGTAAAGGAGTTGCCAGAGATGCTATGCAATTTGCGCGAATTAGAAAGCTTGAATATTGATTCGTGCGAGAGTCTTGCTCATCTTCCGCGTGGGGTCCACAGACTCGTAAACCTCAAATACATCTACAATTCCGGTACCGATTCTCTTCAATATCCTCAAGGACTAGCCCGATTAACTGGCCTTGTCACATTGAGTCGATTCGGAGGCAAGTTAGGATGGTTGAAGAATTTAAACCGACTTAGCGGGTCTTTGAAATTGACGATCGAATTAAGTGGCGATTCAGAAGAAGAGGTAGTGGTGGAGGATGCTCGTGAAGCGGAGTTAGCGAAAAAGACGCGAATTCAAGAACTTACAATATATTTCTCCGATTCTTGCAAAGCGAAAGAATCTGTGTGGATGGATTTAATAGATGCTCTTGAGCCACATCAAAACATGCAAACTTTGAGTATTCAGGACTATAAGGGCTCGCAACTTCCACGATGGATATCTTCGCCATTCAACCAACTCAAATCTATTACCATCGTCCATTGTAAATTGATTTTCTCGATGCCGCCTTTGGGTAAACTACCGCTTCTTGAAAATGTTACGATTTGGAATAATTCTCAATTGGAATTTGTTGGACGAGAATTTTTGGGAATGACAACTAATTCGGGGGATCGTGTTGTTGGGTTTCCGAAGTTGAAGAAACTCGCATTTTGGAACTGTACGAAATGGAACAAGTGGGAGGATATTACGGCCGAAGAAGAAGAAGATTGTGTTGCCGTTATCTTAATGCCTCGTCTGACGGAGTTGCTTATTATAAACTGCGAGTGTTTGACGGAGCTGCCACATCGCCTCCTGCGAAAGGCGTCGGCTTCGTTGAAATTGTTGAATATTCATTGTTCAACACAACTGAAACGGTTTTATGCGAACAAGGAGGGATTGCCCTGGAAATCCATTTCCCGCCACAATCCACATCTTGAACTCAGGCATCATTAGTACTTGTACGTAATTAACCTTTCGTTTTGATTTTCTAATACTCAAAGTTAATAATAGCTTCCTATCAAAAAAAAAAAAATGGTTAATAATATCTTATATATCATTTGTAATACTGTAACATATTTATTTTTTAACTAGTTTATAATGTTTATTCTTTCATATATCAGTTTCAATTCTCTTTCATTAAGAAATTTATAAATTAATTCAATTTTGGTAATCTCACAAGCCATGGAAAAAATGTGAGTGAATTGCTAAAAAGCCGAGGGTTTTTTTTTTTTATAATGAAGGAACCCGCAGCCAACTATATAGGTGCGTGCACTGGCTAAACCTACACTCTTGTATAATAGCTTGCAAATACGAGAGATGTAAATCACCTTATGCTAACCAAAAGCCCCAGGGTTTTTGCTACGATTGCACATGGTCGTGAGTCAGAAGAAATGAGAGATTAATTACGAGTGCTATAATTCATGCTAATATTAATTATTAATGGAAATATTTTTTTATCAACTTGATACAACATATTTGTGCGTAGGGTGGAAATTGGAACGGAATTTGCGATTTCGGTGAATTTTGATCCGAGATTTTTTAAACAATATTTTTTTATTCCGAATTCCGAAATTTTGCAATTTCTGATTTCTCCTATTTATTTTTTGGATTTGGATTTGAATCGATATGAGAATCGATTTTTTATCTGATTTTCATTTCCAAAAATTTTGATTTTGAATAATATCAATATAATTATGTATTTTATTATAAGTGGATAAAAGAAAATGAAATTCTCCAATTCATAACCATGATTCAAACATGAATTTCATGGGTGTGTACACATCTAGTGAGTAAAACAAACTGATGACACTGTGAAATCGAAACATGAATTATCATATCGCGCAAATCATCCTTAAATGTGTTGATGCTGAAAACGGACAAATCACCGCCTAAATAAATATCTTAATTATTGTATCGTATCGCGATATCGAGCGAAATTTACTGATATTTGAGTACAATCAATACACATGCGGAGTTATATCTCGTATCGCGATTACACTGGTTTGAACCAATGTAAGAAGAGATTAAAACCACAATAAGCGCCACCACAACAACATATTCGGAATGTATAAAAAATTCAAGTCCTATTTCACACATTACTCAATACAAATTGTTCGAAGCAAAACAGCCCTTCTCACTTGACAAACTTCATAATCCAATCGAGCGTATCTTGTTGCGCTTCTTCAGCAGATTTCACAGCCATCTCATCATCTAAGTCGTACCTCACCGTCCACCCATGGGCAACACCCGGAAATATTTTCACAAAGCTCTCAACCTACACGCAAAAAAAAAAAAAAAACAAATGCAAAATCATTTTTTTTTCTTTGGCCTTGTGTGAATTATTTTAGAGCTCGATCGTCGTACCTCAGAATTTGAGGACAAGATCTCCTCAAACTGTTTGACAAGCTCTGGCGGTGTGTATTGGTCCATCTCAGCTCCCAAAATAGCTAGCGGTGCCTTAACCTCTGTAAACAAATTATATATTTCGTAACGACCCTTAAAAAAAACAAGAATGATTTGTGTAATTAAATAAAAGTGTCGTACCCTTGACATCGTCTAAAGTAACGAACGATGGGTGCAATAAAACTCCAGCTTGAATAAGATCACTCGACTTTGCTAGTTCCACAACCACCTTAGCTGATTCAAGAAAATAGTAAACTAGCAATATTCAAAAAAACAACTCTGAATTTAAAAGAAAAAAAAGGATTTTTTGATCTTATGTTTGATCATACCGCCGTAGCAAAAGCCAGCAGCACCGATTGCAGTTATGCCTTTACTTTTTAGAGCATCAATAACAAGTTTAGCTTCTTCATATGCTTTGGCCTAATTACAACAACAACAACAAGAAAGAAATTCGATTTTTGTATCGGTAAGTGAATTTCAAGATGTCAGATAAAAAAGTGGATTCGTCTAACGAAATAGCAAAATCCAAAAAGTGATTAATGGAAACAGTCTAGCTAAAAAAAATCAAAGAGAGAGTACAAAAAAGATTTTAATAATAATGAAAAACCGGAATTTGAATATATTCAAGAATATATGCCATATTATAAATAGAGCGACGACAACGAAACTGAAATAATTCAATTAATGAGTAAGACGAAAACGAACTGGTTCGTGAAGTGATAACCAGACTGGAAGAAGCTTCTCGACATTGTCAGGGTCTAACGGATCACCATTGAAGAAATCAGGAACCACCACATAATATCCAGCAGCCGCTATTTTGTCAGCTATTTTCCTACATTGTACAAAAATAAAACCCGAGATTATTAGTCTCGCTATTTTTTTTCAAATACGGTCGTCTTCGATTAATTACAACGTCTCAAAGTGAAGTACGATGGTCGTAATACCTCAATTCCGGAGCTTCGTATCCTGCAAAGCAATACCTTTTTTTGTGAGGCTCCATTTCCATTTCATGAATTTATTTAGTTTAGAGCTTAAAAATTCAAATCCATGATGATAACATTGAATTTGTCTATATAATTTCGAACACTTCAATTTACAATGGATTCTCATTTCAAAGTGAGCAGGAAACACATTTCTTTCTCTCTCTAAACTTAAAATATCAAAGATTAATAATAAAAATAAAAATAAAAAATCCATTAAAAAAAGTTGAAAATATGATGATCAGTCGGCAATATATGATAACGGATCATAAGACGATAGCACTAAAAGAATTAATGGTGAAAAAAGAAATGAACCGAAAACGTCGGAAGCAAGAAGGACGGCGAGTTTGGAATCGGAAGGGCCGGACACGTAGGATTTAAGGCCGCCAAATTCAATTACCGATCCGACTCCGCTGTTCGGGCTCAACGTAGGTGGGTTAGCACAGCACTGGGGGCCCGACATTGTACACGGCAAATTGCAGAGAGGAGAGAAAAAACAGTGTTGAAATGTGAAATGTGAAATGTGAAATGTGAACGAGTGAGCTTGCCTTCGGGCACAAGCACCAAATAACATATTCATGTACACTACAGTTACAACTACCAAATTGAATGTTGGTTGTACTTGTACTACGTGGCCTAATATTAGCCTTTTAATTTCATTTGTGGGCTACTACTATATGTCTATTCTATATGGGTAAACACCATAAAAACCGCATGTGTTAAAAGAAGAATATGCGCCAAATCTACCTGTATTTTTTGTCCTGTGTAAAACCTTTTGTGTTTATTTTACTTTGCATGAAATCATATTTTATGTCAAAAGATAACATCATTTATAACTATCGGGTGGTATGCAAAATTATTTGTAACATAGGGGGGTTTGGTGCATGATTTTGCAACACAATGAGATCTACGCAAAATTAATTTATTCATTTAAAATTCAAATTATTCTCTTAAATTAAGTCTAATGTATCTGTTAATTTAAAATATGAATACTAAAAAAATAATATTTGAGATGAAAGTTGGAACAAATTTCCAAATTATTTATGTTCTTTTCACTTATAACTAATCCATTATAAATTATAATAGGTGATAATTCTAATAAAATAATTATATATTTTAAAAAATCAAAATTCTTAAATACATGAATAAATTATATTATATAAATTTTTATTTTTTTTAAATATTCACCACACCTATTAAATTTCTATTTTTCATATTATAATTGAATAAATGTGTTCGGTAATTTAAGAAAACAATGTCAAATTTAAATAAATTAATTAATTTTGCATAAAATCGCCTTGCATTGTAGAAAATATGCACTAAATCCTTCTCTGTCAGTGGCGGCACTTCTGGGGGGGGGGGAGTTGAATAACCGAAAGGGGAATTTCGTAAAATGAAACACAAGGAGTTTTTACGCAAGAAAAAAAACACAGTGAATTTGGCACAGATTTTCCTTCACACAACTGATTTCATGTTGTTTACCCTATTCTATGTATATCCATTTACTTTTTCATTTTTATTTTTTGAAGTCAAATGTACGTGCCTCGCCTACAACCCGAGTAGCAATCAAGACGACTTGTCTTTCCATGATAAATCATCTTTTACAGACCTATATTTAAAAAAATACTTAACATAATAAATATTTATATTTTGTGACTTGAAAGGCATTAGATTTTTTAGTATTTATATATCCTTTTTTCGTAAACGAATATTTTTTATATTATTTTCAAATTGTTGAAATTTTAGTTATTTTTATTACGCAATCCCTCAGATTCATCATAATTCGTACGACTTCAATTTTTTTTTAATATTATTTAATATTTTTTACTATAGACAACATGCATGAAATTTATATTATTATCATAGATGAAGTAAAATTGGTCCATTCACACGTATATAATATGACCAGACTTTGAACGTACCAATACAAAGTCCGATGGTATGTGAATTTGAGCTTCTAAATGTGAAGCTCGATGATATTAATTAACTTCAGCATACCAAAGCTCGGTTTACAGGACCTAGTTGTCACCCTTCTTTTTCTTCGAAATCGTGGAACTAATGTTGTGGAAGATAGAAATTAAGAGAGTCTTGTTGTTTTTTTCCTTTTTAATGAAGAATCCAGAGCCTATTTTGTCAAACTCGGACATAGGGGCGGACTCGCCTAGGGGCTAGTGCAGGAATGACCAGCAAAAAAACTAATGTTTGGATTGGTTTCGGGTGTTATTTATATTTTATTTTTGGAAGATATGTTTTGAGGGAATGATTTGAGAGTGAAAGTAACGTTTGTTTATATTTTTTAGATAAGACAAAATACATTGTAGCGGTTTTTATAGGGGTTGAAAAAAGATATTTTAAAGGGTAACTGGCATTTTGCACCCTGTAATTATACTCATTTGACACTTTGACTCTTAAATAAAAAATATGACAGATTGCACCCTCAAATTAAAAAGCATAGTGCACCACATAACCTAAAAGTAGTACAATAAAAGGATTTAGGGAGAACTGAAAGGGTAAATTTGTGAATAAATTCATTACCAACCTTTTTAATTACTGAAAATTTATATTCTTACTGATGAATTAACAATAATTGACCATTTTGTCCATTGAATTATGGTAAAATCAAGTTTTCAAACGCAAATTTTAGCAGAAAAGTGTCTTATGGTGCAATGTGCCAAGCAAATCTTAATTTGAGGGTGCTATCTACTATTTTTCAAAGTGTCAAATGAGCATAATTGAAGGGTGCAAAATGCCAATTACCCTATTTTAAAAGAAATAATTTGAAAAATAAAGTGATGTTTTTTAGCTTTACAGTGAAAACATTTTTTACTGTAACAGTCATGTTGTTTACTGTAAACCTTTTAAAAAGGTTTTGGGGATTTTTTTTTTTAAACTAAACAAACACGAATTCGTTTCGGGAAAGAATAAGAGTGAAATGAGAATGTTTCTCTCCATTTTGCACCCAAAGTTCCAATCTTATATACTTTTAGTCCATTTTCCTTTTTTTCTTTTCGTAAATCACCCCCATATTCTAGCCCCTAAAACAAAAAGCCCCTAGCAACGCTCCTGCTCGGACATGAAGTGAATAAAAATTGGTCGAGGCGATAATATGTCCTTATTTGTTCCTAAGTTGATACCACGGCCATCTATCAATAATACTTTGAGCACCACTACAATACAAAAGTATGAAGGAACTATACTATTTGTTCCACTTTTGATTAAGGTATCATCAGTTTTACGACTAATACACACACATGAAAATTCATGTTTGAAGCAATGTAAGAAGAGATTAAAACCCGAAAAGGCTCCACCACTACGACCCCTCTCACTTATTCCAAGTCTTATTTAAAGCAAACGGCCCCTCTCACTTGACGAACTTGATAAACCAGTTGAGGGTATCTTGGTACGCTTCTTCGGCAGATTTTACAGCCATCTCATCATCAAATTTGTACCTCACTGCCCACCCATGGGCAACACCCGGAAATATCTTCACAAAGCTCTCAACCTACATGCCAAAAAAAAAAAAAACGAACAAACGGCAAAACCATTACTAATGTATTCAGAAATGTGCTGCATTTCGTTTGCACTATTTTTTAGCTCAAACCTCAGAATTCGTCGACAAAATCTCCTCAAACTGTTTGACAAGCTCGGGGGGTGAGAGATGGTCGGTCTCAGCTCCCAAAATAGCTAGTGGGGCCTTAACCTCTGTAAACAAATTGTAGATCAGTATACATTTATTACCGAACATATGCTTTTTACACAATATATTTTTACCAGACATTTACTACAATCTAAAGACGATCGTGCAGTAAGCTTATTATGAGTATAGAGTTTGCGCGTATACATAAAAGTTTTTGATTTTATAAGTGCAATCACGTGAACAAAATGACTAGTAGAAATAAACTATAGGAATCCGTCCATCACAGCCCTTAAAAACAAGCATGATTTTTCTCGTTAAATAAATTAATGTACCCTTGATATCATCTAAAGTGACGAACGATGGATGCAAGAAAACTCCAGCCTCGATAAGCTTGGACTTTGCTAGTTCCACAACCACCTTAGCTGATGCAAAAAACGAGGTCAGAATCACTAGCAATCAGAAAAACTCTCTTGCTATAGCTCGAAGCAACATATTCATTCCAAAATAACTCGGAATGTAACAGATTTCTTATCTAAATGTTGATCTTACCTCCATAGCAAAAGCCAGCAGCACCAATTGCGGATATGCCTTTACTTCTCAGAGCTTCAATAACAGGTTTAGCATCTTCAAATGCTTTGGCCTGACATACAATAGAACAAGTAGAAATGCTTAGACACGACTTCTAAAATCGATCAATTAGAATCAGCAACTATAACAGTATGAAAGCATCTCAAATTTTGATAAGTGAAAAGTCAGAATATGAAGGCAAAAAAGTGGATTTGTCTAATGAAGGAACAAAATCCCACGTCATTAATGGGAAGAAACTATTCGAAGTAGTTTTCAGTTTCACCCAAAAAAAATAAAAACAATAAATGAATCAAAGAAACGAACTGGTTCATGCAGTGCTTTCCAGACAAGAAGAGGCTTCTCGGGATTGGCAGGGTCATACGGATCCCCGTAGAAGAAATCAGGAACCACCACATAAAATCCAGCAGCTGCTATTTTGTCAGCTATTTTCCTTCAAGTATTAAAAGAAAAAAAGAAAAAAAAAAAAAAACAACAACAACAAACTCCGGCATTAGTCTCGAGAAAATAGCATGAGGCAAATTTCAGGTAAAATCATAGATGGGATTGATTTTGAAATATATCCTTCACTGCTATCTCCGTCCTAATATGATTCAAGAAATTCTAGCCGTTTATATTTTATAGAAACACACGAAGGATATACCATCAGCTCATATACGTAGAAGAAAGGTTTCACAAGCAAGATGGTAAATTTTCCAATTATTATCGACTTCGATTAAAAATAACTCAGAGTGAAATAGGTCTACAATACCTCAAGTTCGGAGCTTCATATCCTGCAAAACAATAAATTTAAAATTTGGTGAGTCTCCGTTTCAACTTATGAATTTAAAGCGAACAAACTCATATTAAAGCCATCATAATCAACCAATTCATTATTTCGGATAATTTGAAAGTACAATGGATTTAAAATTCTTCATAGTACGAAATCTTTAATTCAAATTGAAATCCAAATTCTTCATTTAAATAAGAAAATCAATAACGGAGAGAAAAAATCAAAGTTCTACCCATCCGATCATAGTGTGTTCTTGTTTATGAATATCCCCAATTTGACACTACTAGCCATATTTATCATGTCATCAACAAAAAATAACATTAACTAAGATAATAACCAAAGAAAATTCATTTCCGAACACTTGAATTGAAAGATAACTACCAAAAACAAAATTCGGAATCCAATGAACACGAGAGAAAAAAAAATAACCGTAAACGTCGGCAGCAAGGATGACGGCGAGTTTGGAATCGGAGGGGCCGGACACGTAGGATTTAAGGCCGCCAAATTCAATTACCGATCCGACTCCGCTGCTCGGGCTCAACGTCGGCGGGTTCGCACAGCACTGTGGGCCCGACATCTACACGGCAAATTGCAGAGGGCAGAGAAAACCAGTTAGTGTTGAATGTGAATGAGTGAACTTGCGAAGCAAGGATGAGGATATTTATTTAGAAACGCTTGGTAATAAAGGAGAGTAATTTATTTAAGTGGGTGTGGAATTTTTTGATTTTCTTACCTACTGTAATATTTTAGGGAAAATCAGTGAAAAAAATACCGTTTTCAAATTGCATTAAGATGGATCCACTTTTTAGAAATAATTAGTGATGACACTTTCCTCACAATTTTTCCACAAAATTCTAGATCATCTTACGTTTTTTTCGCGAAATTCTACATTAATTAAATTGAACATAAATCGACTATGTTTGTGTCAGTAGTTGATTCATTAATCGACTGTAGTTGATTAAAATATTAAAGCGTATATTAGACCTAAAAATAATAAATTAACTATAAAATAAATACAGTTGATTTATCAATCAATAATCGTCGATTACGTAAACTGACACATAACAATACTAAAATTGATGGTAAAAAACCTAGTGTATATGACGGATGGGAGAAGTTCTGTCATGTGAGGTCCGGGACGTAGAGGAGGAAGTTGCCGGTTTATGAGAGGAGGGTTATTTCAATTATGATAGTGGAGGTGTTTGATGTCCGGACGGCGGTGGAGGTATTTTAATGTCCAGACTCCTCGACATCGTTGGAGGTTTTTTTATGTCCATATAGTGGTGCTTGGCGGCGATGGAGGTGTTTGATGTTTCAGACGGTGGTGTCTCGGGGCGGGCGTCGGTGGATGAAACGTGGGAATCTAGGATGAAGACAGTAGCGAATTCAGGATTTCATCATTGGGGGGCCCGAATATACATAAAAAAAATAGCGTAATTAATAACAACAATGATTGTTCCAAGAGTGACGAGTTTAAGATATTGTTACATAGTGCTTAAATTTTTGGGTGCAGCCTCCTAAAATAATTAGGACTTTTGTTTTTTTTAGAAGAATATAGGAAAAGAAAATTTTGGAAACTTTTCTTCATTAATCTAAATTTGGGTGAACTAAATAATAAAAATTTGGTCGGCTTGAGTCCGTCCTTGCCCGATAGTGAACTCGCCCCTGGTGCCAAGACGTGTAGCCTCCTTATCCTACTTGTTAGAATTATTTATTATCTTTCTTTGTTTTCTTCAATTAAAAATATTTATTATATTTTTTATATAAAACTTAACTGTTAAAAATCATAGGAGCACAATATAAATGCAATAAATTATATATACATATATAATAGTGAAAAAAAAATAAAATTTGAGGAGATGAGTGTAGTATTAGCACTACTGAAAGAATAGAACTTTGTCTAATGAGATGAGGTTGGATTTTTCCCTATTATTGTAATGTTTGGATCTATTTCTAAGAGCCCAAATATTATATTTAAAAGGGTATATTCCATTTTTTCCCCTTGTATTTTAGTTTGGTTATTACTTTATTCCCTTCTATTCTCGATTGTATCAATTTGCTCCCATGCACTTGAAAAATTGTCTCAACGTGGCCATCGTCGTTAGTTTTCAAATTTGACATTAACACCGTTTGGTCTATGTCTGAAAATTACAAAAAAGTCACCCCTCCCAGTTTAAATAATTATAAAAACATAAATTGTGGTTGCCCCTTGGACTATACTTTCTCTTTGTCTTGAATTTTTTTTTTATATATATAGTTATTTATTTTTATTTTTTTAATAATTATTTGAACTAAGAGGGGTGTCGTTTTTGTAATTTCAGAGCTTAAATCAAACGGTATTAAGATCAAATGTCTAACAACTAACAACGAGGACCACATTGAGACAATTTTTCAAGTGCATGGGGCAAATCTGTACAATCGAAAGTAAAAAGGGATAAATTGATATCGAGCCAAAGTAAATGGGGAAGTGAAATTTACTCTATTTAAAATTTATAATATAATAGAAATTAGTTGGCGAACATATTAGAATGCGGGTGAACCAATTGAACTATAGCATTTAGAACCCGATGAACTTGTATGCTAACATAGTTATGAGGGTATTTTTGTAAAAAGATGTAACGACGGACTTTACTGAAAAAAAAAAAATAACGGTGTCCTTGTCTGAAGTGAAAATAAAAAATTGAGTAACTTTTCTCAAACGGCAAGCTATTGAATTGAATTATTAAACATTATAGGGTTGATTTTGATGGAGAGAGAGAGAAGACAACAATGTCAATATTTTTTACTTTTCCTTCGTTTTTCTATTCTCATTTTGTTTTGAAGAAATGCGGGATGCGATGATGAAAGCATAGCTGCATAGGGATGTGTTTGCAAAAACATGAGGCCTTTTTTTGAGGTTTTTTTAGAATTTACACAGATATAATATACATATATAAGGATTCCTTTTTTTGAGTGTTTTTTTACACAATCTGGCTGAAAGAGCTCGTATGCTTCTTTACTTGTAATCACATTGGTCACATACTCATTAAAATAATCGATGACTTTTCAAGCAGTTAGAGATAACATAGGAGTACCGAATGCAATTTACTATTATGTATGTTATAAAATATGTGAATTGAAAATAGTATTTCCAAATTTTGTCGATTCCGCTCTGAATTTTCGAGATTCCAATGTCCATTTTCTCCAAAATATTTCGTAATTAAATTAGAACTAGTTATTCACTTTTAAAAAGAATTGAATTTTTTTCGAAAGTATTAATTTTGATGGGATACGTGTATTCCCACTTGTTATCCTTCATTTTATTTTTATAAATGAAGCGGGGATCAAACTTATTTGAAGTGAAACGCCGAATTGGAGAGATTTCAATAGCTTTGCCTCTCTTAAGCAAGTCAGTTTTTCAAGATTTTATTTTATTTAGGCCTCAAAAAAACGTGTTTTTCTGTATCTCGTAATATTTTTATTTGCATTTGCATTAACTTTCAATAGCAAAATCGAATTTCAATTATGTGAAATTAATTGTTCTTAGAATTTGAAGTTCTAGTATGATTAATCTTATACTATTTCTTTTGTCATTTATTGTAGTTTTTCGTAGTTTCATAGTTAAATAATAATTACGATTTTCAGAATTAAACCTGTGAAAATTGACATTGAACTTCTGAAAATTGATATTTTGACAAAATATGATACTAAACTTGGGAATCTTGGTAGCGAACTTACCAAAATTGGTCATTGAACTTTTAAATTTTTAGTATTTTTAAGATAAAAGGGCAGTGAACTTTTGAACATTGAGTAAATTTTCCCTAATTTTAACACAATATGGTAGTGAATTTTTAAAATATGTTGAAAATTAAGAGCGAACTTATGCGATAGGTTAAAAGTTCACAATGAACTTCAGAAAATGGCTGAAAATTGACAACAAACTTCTAAAGTGACTGAAAATTTGTTGTGCACTTCAGAAAATTTGTAAACGAACTTATAAATATTGGCAGTTAACTTCTTAAAATTAGTTGAAATAGTTTAAATATGGAATTGAATTTCTGAAAATTAAAATTGAACTTGAAAGTGAATTTATAGCCCAAGGGGACGTCCAACACCGTTTGGAGACGCGTACCGCACAGACTTTTAACTAGGGGTGTAAATGAGCTGGGCCGGCTCATGAGCTCGATGAGCTGGCTCGGAAAATCGAGCTCGAATTTTTCGAGCTCAAGCTCGAGCTTTCGAACGAGCTTATATATATATATATATATATATACATTTTATATTTTTAATATTATGTAAAAATTAGAAAAAAATAAAAAAAATATATATATAAATGAGCTGAGCTCGAGCTCACCAAATTTGACTCGAGCTCGAAAAATCTGGCAAGCTCGGCTCATTTACACCGCTACTTTTGACTAATAAAAATTCGGGGGTATTATTGTAAAATAATACAAAAAATGAGCATTTATTTTTTGCCAGTGAAATTACAAAAACTCGAGTTCTGATACACAATTATTATCTATAAAACATGTTTACAAGTCACAAAACTTTGCAAGTTCCTTTGCACTAACTGGTTTTCTAGTTTCTAGTTCATGTCATGCTGTGGTTTACAAAATATATATGCACACTTACAAAACTTATTACACACATTCAGTAATTATGCCACTTTCTCTAATATTAACACAATATGTTAGAGAGGGGGTGTGCACTAAGACTAAGTGTAAGAAGTGCAGTTTAATCCCTCACAAATAGGAAAGCAATTCTTCAATAGCATCTTCAGCACCAAAGCTACCGGAACTCGATTTGCTAGTCCTTCTCTTTGTAGAAACAAGTGGATTTTTCTCCTCTTCGTCGACTGCTGCTGGCCGCTCAATCTCCGCTCCTTTCAACGCAGGGTGTACGTACGCATCCCTAAGGTAAGCTTTCAAGTCCAGCTTCGGCTCTTTAGCCCTTTCTGTCGTGTCCTTTTTCATCGCTTCCTGTTTATTTTTTTTTTAAATTAATCGTTCCTTAATTAATCTGTAAACATGGTTAATTAATGGTAATCAACAGGATGTCTGAAGTAATTACCTGCAGTGGGAACTTGACGAATGCTGACTCAAATCGGCCCTTGCAAAATATATGAAACCAGATTGTGAAGAGAGCGAGTACGAGCAACAATGGAGTCGACTTAGCGGCATTCTTTGTGCTAAGCAGTCCCATTAGCAGAACTTGTGATATTATCAAACTTATTATAATACGACGATGCACATCCGGCCAAAATCTACCCCCACTCTCGTAATTCTGATCATATACATTGATAATCTACGCATTCAAAGAACGTGATAATTACTTTTCTAATCCAAAAATGTATGTTGTATGTATGGTAAATATGTATAGAGAGAGAGAGAGAGAGAGAGAGAGAGAGAGAGAGAGAGAGAGAGAGAGAGAGAGAGAGAGAGAGAGAGAGAGAGAGAGAGAGCATACTTGATGGCGATAAACTGTATAGGAAAATGCAAAGAAAACAAGAATGAAAGGCAAAATTATGGGAGTGGCTACTGAGTATACGAGGCCAAGCAAGAAGTATAGTTGTATGCGAGGTTCTGTTGTAGCAAAACTTAAAGAACCGGGATCCATTGCTTCTTCTTTATCCTGTTTCGTCTTTACAAAGAAGGTGTTTTTGAAGTGAAATTTGATTAACGGAACCACTCTAATGATCTCTGCAGCAATTCCAGCCCATCCATCAACCATAATGTAAGTAATAAAGAAAGTCGCTTTCATTGGGATCGCTACACCGACAGTCTTCGGAATACTGCAACGTCGCAAAACAAAATTTGGATAAATAATTAGGAACCGTCAAAACAAAAAATGGTCCTACTATTCGAACTAAAACGTACGATGATGGAGCCTCGTTAAGAAACGCATAAAGCTGGTCGAATGCTGCTCCTGTGATGATGCTTCCCAAGAAGACGTTAACGAGTACGAATAAGTGATACTTTCCAGCTGTTCGTCTGTCCAAAGCCGAATGACATGTGTGCCCTTCCATTTTGGACATTTGCACGAGAATTGTCGGGAGGCTCGCCGTGAACATCTTCAGCGCAATTCCAGGAAGAAAACCTTGAACAACTGACTTCACTCGTTTCCTAAAAAATCAAATCAATTAGTTCATGCTAAAACAATGATATATTCAGAAGAAAAAAAAGATTATTTTTTAAAACTCACATTCGAATCAATGGTCGTAGGAAGACGAGAACCTTCTGAATGCCCTCAATGCTAGCCAAGGACTGAACGAATGCTATAGGAATCATGAAGAAGAACGTGAGGAAGAACATAGTTACGGCTATTATCAATTGTTTGACTGTGAGTTGAACGTATGGCATTGCAAGATTGTCCCAATAAACGTCACATGGTTCGGGTGCCCATTCCGTCAGCCACAAAGTCGGATTGCGTGATTGTTGGGTTTGTGCACAAACGGCCGCCCCCCATCGAGACTTGAACGAAACGAATGCCGCCGGGACAATTGATTTCGGGTCACTTATCACCTTTTCCCTCTCATCAATTTCCTTCATAGTATATCAAAGTATTCGACAAGTGATTGATTATCAGTAACTGTATCAAAAACAGCGTGAATTGGAAAAGATGGAGGTTATTATGCTTACTTCTTGGATTATCTTTTCGATTTCTGTTTTATGGTACTCGATGGCGTCGACCGATCTCCCGAAGAGGCCCCACAAACCTGTCTATACACTTTAAGAAAAATCAGATGAACTTTCGTACATTCAGTCAATAACGTGAAGAATATGTTAAAGGACGAAAACGAATACCTTTGTTCTTGGTCTTTTTTTGGGGTTCCTCTCGAATCGTGTTTCGTAGTAAGAAAGCCAATTCTGCCAACTTTTCAACTCCTTAACCAATTTGGCAAGCTTGTTTGCGTTATATACCACCTGCAATCGAGTCTCAAACAAGCTAAATGAAACTATATTATCGGGATATTTATTATACAGAATAATGCTTTTTGACTTGATCCCGACATTTCCAGGAAACGGAATATTCTAGTTCAGCTGTCAAAATAAAAATCATCGTCATTGAATTAAAATATATATAGCTGCTAACCTGATGAGTGAGATAATGTTCCGGATGATTTACAGAAAAGAAATGCTCGACATGCTCGCTGACCGATTCATCGGACTCTGGAGGAATATTTCTAACAAGGACCTGAAAACGGAACGAAATCGATAAACCACAGTAGTTTAAACGATAGAGTTTTCTGTTAAAGTAAACATCAATAAAACAGAAAGCATATTTTTACATGCTCACAGTGAATTGGTCTGGCCGACGATTTTCAGAAGCTATGAATTCCAACCTCTTGTCAGATATGATCTCATATTCTTTGTAAAGGATATAACACGTCCAGAATGTGAATACATATGCCATTATTATGTGAGCCGATAGCCTGGATAAAAGTACTAAATATCAGCTTTAAACCAATCTATTCAAAAGACGACCGAAGAGAATATTCCGGTAAAAATACTCACCGGAAAGATCCTGACGGAATATTGGATATCGAAAGCTTGTCGATGTCACTGTACGTCAAATCTTTGATGTCGTCTAGTGTTTTACCTGTGCAATTTAGAGGCACCAGTACTGCAAACGAAAGTATAGCTATCGGGACAAATATTTTCAATCTGCGTTTAATTGAAAATAAAATTCAATTAGTCTACGAGGACTTCAAAAATATGGTACTTTCAACACGATAACGCTGAAGAGGCGCTCACCCGAGAAGGTATATTCTTATATACACGACAGAATCGAGCCCTGCGTGGTCAATCAGCTCGGATTCCGGCATTCGAAGTGCTGCAGGCATCCAATTCCAAAAAAATAAATAGGTTTTGAAATCTAAATTGACGAACTTCTTCACCAAAGTTCCGGATTTATTGGGGCTTTCTCGTATGCCCTTTAAATACCACTTCGGAAAGTAAACTCTATCGTTGATTGGTTGGAGCCTCAAGAATGCGAAGCCCAAAAGAAACATCAACACGGACAGAAGATTGATGTATGCTGACGTGGCGATATCTTGAAGACTAGCCATATTTTCATGTGAAGATTACTTACTTATCCCCTGCACTTCAAACTGAAAAACACATGAAATTCTTCTTCTTCCTTTCACAGAATAAATTAAGGGTGTGATTTGTGAACATTTGTTGAGATTAAAATTCCGTAAAATACGCATCGAAAAATTCAGTATCCCGATAATATATCTGTAATAAAATCATTTTGTTTTAACATTTTCAATTGACATTCTGATAATTTTCTGACGAACAACAAAAATAATAAAAATAAAAATAAATCAGAAATCAACTCTTTTAGGTTCCTATGAGAAAAAAAGGGGTAAATTAAAACTGAAAATTACCCGAAAACGATTTGGGGATTTAGAAATTTTGCAGGAAGCAAAAGGAAAGAAGAGGAAGGGATCAGATCCAAGAATTTTACCTAAAAAAATTAATCAGAAAATATTTTTCTAAATTGATGTTACCTTTGTATCCTTGAGCTCTTCCAATGGCACGAATTGTGAAAAGTGTGGCGTACGAACGGAACTAACAGCCGATGAATCTGGTTTCATGGAAGACGATGAATGAAACCCTGAATATGGCGGGAATTGACGGTGGAGAATTTGTTGTTTTCAAGTCTGTTTTGTTAACGCAACATAGCCGTACATATTGTATTAACAATTTATTTGAATTTTGGAATGACGAGTTTACCCCTTTTTGTTGGGAATGGCAGCGAATCGAATACCAATGAAAAAGGGTAATACTGGAACAATTGTCCATTAGGTGTCGTTTTTTTTTTTGATGAGTCCATTAGGTGTCGTTAGATTACCATCATTAAGTTATATTAATAAAATTAGTACTACACCCGTGCGATGTAGCATTTCCAAAGAAAAAAAAAATATATATTTAAATGCGTCATCAATAAAAATAGTAATAAAACAATATATAATAAATATTAGTAAAATTAAATTGACAAAGGGTTATATGAAATTAAAATTGATCGTTAAAGAAATGAAGTATATTGAATAAATCCAATATTAATAAACGCGTCATATATGTATTCTACAACTCCAGCAATTGACGACACCATTATTTAGTTATTTAACAAAACTGATTAAAAATACGTATATAAATACTGAAAAATACATTCATTTACATACATTTTGTAGTAACATAAAATTACCTAAATACAAACATCCATAAACCAATGTTTATAGTTTTATACCCGTAGTCGTGATCATAAGATACAACAATTATAAACTACCATTGTCGTGATCGTACTAAAAAGTTTTCAGTAATCGTAAGAAAAAGTATACTATCATGTCCTTGCATTTGTTAGAGTTTACAAATTCAAGCACTGATGCTTCGCCTCTGGAGTCGCTTGTTGAAGTCAAAATTTGAACACTTGTTGCCTCTTGCTCATTTTCCTCTTGACAAATGCATCCGCAATAAAATCAAGATTGACATATGGAGAAGTCGTGACAAAGTGTTAAACGGTTGAGTTAGGCTTTTTAAGTTTATCAGGATTCTAAGTCCTTATAAGATTTAACGTACGACTTGGATCACACTAAGTAGAAACAAAAATATTTTAATGCATATACTTGATCAACCTTAAAGAATACTAAAATAACAAATTGTACGATCAAATTACTAATTGCATATTATAGCTTTTTCAAATGTCAAACATCTAGAAAAATATGAATTAAAATCAAACCCATCTTTGTGAAAATTTTAATTGATCCAAAATATGTTATAATGTATATCATATAACAAAAAATACTAATATAAACTTTGAACTATGCAGTGGGATTCAAGTTGTAATTCGCTTTATTGTCTAACAAACTCTCTTCTTCTTTTTCTTCCAATTCCTAAGCAATGACTCTTTAAAGGCCCGATTCAAGCCTTTATTCTTCAATTCAAACAGGAACAGCTCCATGAGTCTCATTCGTTTTCTCTTCTTCAAATTCTTCATCTTTAAGCTTGCTAGGATCATATCAAATACTCATGGGCTCCATTGCGCATGCAAAATTGCAGAAAATGGAAGATAATGACATGTTCGTCATTTCAGACCTGCATCCATTCTGGAGTACCATGGCACTTAAACCTTCAGAGCTACCTGAATATCAAGTAAACCGCGAGTTGATTGTGGATAGACAGATTGATGACCTGAATAGAGATTCGAAGAACTTGAATTACATGAGCAAGATAAATGTCGTTGCCTCATTGCGTGGCATCGTTTATCCGTCTACGACTCATCTGTTCGAGCCATCATTTTTTAAGACCAAAGGACGACCGAAGCATAACTAGACAAAGAGAGACCCTTTCGGATGGATGTATCATATTGATTCGGAGACAATTAAGTTATCTTGTGGTTCTAAGGGTCGCCAATCCTCCCTTGCAACAAAGATTCCTAAAGCAAAGATTGATAGAAGCACTGATGGAACGCCTCCATCGGAAATGAAAGGTCGTGGTTCTCGTATTCCAACACAAGAATATGCTATCCCTCTAATACCTGCACATGAAGGAATCGACTTATATTATTTCGTGCCCATATTTATGGTACGTCTTATTCGAGATTATGTCAACGTAATGGTGGATGGCAACAGTGTGTACTAGTGCTTTGCTCAAGCCGTATACGGGGATCAAGAAAGATGGCCTCAAGTGAGAGGGGAGTTGCTTATTGAGTTATACGAGTATGCTGATGTGTACACGTCGATGTTGGCAGTACTCGACGCGTTGAGGTGATACGCAAGTGTAACTGGCCCTCGGATCCTCGTCCACAAGCTTATTAGATGGACATGAATGAAGTGAGATTGGACATTGCTGCCAAATACAGTGCATTGGTGCACTTTTGACCCAAGTGGGGAGTGTGACATACCTTCCTATGTTTGGCAGTGGTCAACTTATTATGTATGATTGTTGTGACATTGCATAACAATCATTTCATGCTTGTTAATTTGGTCGCGAATAGTCCTCTACCACATATCCATCCGGCATGGGTACATCATAGAGCTAAAAAACTGGAGCACTTACTCAAAAGTTCCAACCTCGACTATTCGTGTAGGAACAATTAAAGTCTGGTTGATAGTTTACAAAATGTTCTTTTATTGTAATTTGTATTTGTATTTGAATTTAGTTCAATATGTATTGGTACTTGAGTTTACGAATGTTTTTGTGAATTTATTGTATTTTTTTTTTACTGTTAACAAATAAGTTGGTTAAATAAAAAACAAAAAAAAAAAATTGGGGTTTCGTAAAGTGTTGTACAAATCTTGAGCTTCAATTTCGTGTATAATACTATGAAATTATAGCTAACATTTCGTGTTTTTCATCAGGAAACTTAAGAAATCATGCTGTCCCCCAATTTCGTCCTTCATATTCTATCCTGATAAATACGGCCGATTTGTGATTTTTTTTAGGAAAGCTACAAATGAAATAAATCGCATCGCAAGCAAGTAAAAAACGTTCTATGGATAGCATTTCAGTTTAGTAAATCTTATTAGTTTACCGTATTACCGTAT